TGGTGTTATTGGAGACTTTTGGAGACATTGGTGTTATTGGAGACTTTTGGAGACATGAAAGCACGTATCGTTCTTACTCTTCTCAACGAGCAGCGAGTGCTTTGTTACCCACGTCCCAAAGCACTCACAGGCGGCCCAGTCCTCGCGCAGCAGTCCCTCCCAGCTGCAGTCAAAGCAGGAGATGTTCACCCCTCCGCAACCAGACTGCAAATGAATCGCGCATGCGGGAAGCCGCCGCTGGCCGATCCCGCCCTAGCTTACATTAAGGGTGGGATGTAAATGTAGGGTGTTTTTTACTCACTTTTTGTCTCTCCCACAACGTTATTTCTCTCCTACAGCGTCCATCACAATTACATGGCCAATTATACAAATTAGGTGAAGACGTCATTTAGCGACTTCTAGCGACTTTTAGGACAACCAATAGCTACTTTCTTTACTGAGGAGTTGGCAACACTGAGCCGCTGTTGCAGTGTTGTTATTATTTCAGTACTTTATTTGCAACATTTGGGACTTTTGTTTGTATTTAACTCTACTTTACTGTCGTTTCCCGAGAAAGTCCATAGTCACATTTTTCCCCAAGTGCACTGCAGTGGCGGTCGGTGCCATTCACCCAGTTCAATGTAATATCGATAGGTTTAGGCTACTACATGATACTCAAATCTTCCCTATACCCATCATGAGGTTGCTCCAACCTATCAATGAAAGTTTACAACATAAGTGCACACAGGTCGAGAGAATTGAGGTGACAGACAGTGCCACATTCAATACCATCTTGCGCACACTTGCCTTCAACTAGCTAATCTAGGGTGTAATTCACAGGAGGCTGGTGGCACCTTAATTGGGGAGGACAGGCTCACAGTAATGGCTGGAACGGAATTAAATGCAATGGTATTGAACACATCATACCATTCCATTCACTACATTCCAGCCATTGTTATGAGCTGACCTGCCCTCAGCAGCCTCCTGTGGTGTAATCATTAGTCCAAGAGTTGCAAACGAGAGTTTCTACTGGACAAATTAAGGTATGTTTATACCCGTTTAGTTCCGTTTGCTTCCGTTTAATACAAGTTTTTCAACAGAATCAGCGGAATGCAGACACCCTGATCACACGTAAACACACTGTTCACTTTCATAGCAGCCATGTTGTATTCATTCTCGCATTTACGCGCTGTCCTCATCTTTTCGCTTCGCTTGTGGACTTGCACATCACATCAGCTGTATGTGACCAGGTGAAAAACCTTTCCAAGCCAAACAATATCATAACTGATACACACAGTCTACATCGTTGTAACCATATTAAAGTAACGTCATAGTCAACATAGCTAATCGAACTAACGCATTAGTAAACCCGCTACAATTATGCAGTAATGTTACAGTGTACAGTCAGTAAGCAGTTTAGCAGTTACACCGGCAGGCCCCGGTGGCAATAAATGAGTAAAACCAAAAGCTTACCATAACTTGGAAGAGTTCCAGTTTTGTGTTGGATAGTCATAGCCAGCTATCTAACATAGCATCCCTCTGATTGAGCCGGTGTTTGAGTAGGCTAAACTAGCTAGCTGCATTTGCTAGCTAAGTAAGGGAAAGTGAAAAAGAATGACACAATATAACTCTCTCTCTTGCGTCTCCTTCATGTTTGAAGAAATGTGTTCAACTATTGTCTTTCTCTCTCTTTGAGTCAACTACTCACCACATTTTATGCACTGCGGTGCTAGCTAGCTGTGGCTTATGCTTTCAGTACTAGATTCATTATCTGATCCTTTGATTGGGTGGACAACATGTCAGTTCATGCTGCAAGAGCTCTGATTGGTTGGAGGACGTCCTCTGGAAGTTGTCATAATTACTGTGTAAGTCTACGGAAGGGGGTGAGAACCATGAGCCTCAAAGGTTTTGTTTTGTCAATGTACCCAGAGGAGGACGGAAGCTAGCTGTCCTCCGGCTACACCATCGTGAAACCCTACAGAGTGCTGTTGATGCTACTGTAGCCTTTCATTGCAAAACAGTGTGCTTTAATCAATTATTTGGTGACTTGAATATATTTAGTTTAGTTTTATCTTAAAAGGATCACTTTTCTAATGTTTTACTATTTTTATTTTTATGAAATTCACTGAGGAGGATGATCCTCCTCTTCCTCCTCTGAGGAGCCTCCACTGCCTGAGACAGTTTCTGACAGTTTGTGCAAAAATTGTTAGGTTGTGCAAACCCACAGTTTCATCAGCTGTCCGGGTGGCTGGTCTCAGACGATCCCGCAGGTTAAGAAGCCGGATGTGGAGGACCTGGGGCTGTCATGGTTACACGTGGTCTGCGGTTGTGAGGCCGGTTGGACATACTGCCAAATTCTCTAAAACTAGAGGCGGCTTATGGTAGAAAAATTAACATTAACTTCTCTGGCAACAGCTCTGGTGGACATTCCTGCAGTCAGCATGCCAATTTCACACTCCCTCAAAACTTGAGACATCTGTGGCATTGCGCATTGTGGCATACACGTTTTAGAGTGGCCTTTTATTGTCCCCAGCACAAGCTGCACCTGTGTAATGATCATGCTGATTAATCAGCTTCTTGATATGCCACACTTGTCAGGTGGGTGGATTATCTTGGCAACAGAGAAATGCTCACTAACAAGGATGTAAACACATTTGTGCACAAAAGCTTTTTGTGCATATGAACAATTTCTGGGATCTTTTATTTCAGCTGATGAAACATGGTACCACCACTTTACATGTTGCGTTTATATTTTGTTCAGTATAGTAGTCATGTTTTTTGAAAATGAAATAAAGAAACATCTAATTTCACACCCCTGAGTCAATACATGTTAGAATCACCTTTGGCAGCGATTACAGCTGTGAGTCTTTCTGGGTAAGTGTCTAAGAGCTTTGCACACCTGGAATGTGCAATATTTGCACATTTTTCTTTTAAAAATTCTTCAAGATCTGTCAAATTGGTTGTTGATCATTGCTGGACAGCCATATTCAAGTCTTGCAATAGATTTTTACGTCGATTTAAGTCAAAACTATAACTTGGCCACTCAGGAACATTCAATGTTGTCTTGGTAAGCAACTCTACTGTATATTTGGCCTTGTGTTTTAGGTTATTGTCCTGCTGAAAGGTGAATTTGTCTCCCAGTGTCTGTTGGAAAGCAGACTGAACCAAGTTTTCCGCTATGATTTTCCTGTGCTTAGCTCTATTCCATTTATTTCTATCCTAAATAAATCCCTAGTCCTTGCCGATGACAAGCATACCCATAACATGATTCAGCCACCACCATGCTTGAACATATGAAGAGTGGTACTCAGTGATGTGTTGTGTTGGATTTGCCCCAAACATAACACTTTGGATTCAGGACGTAAAGTTAGTTTTACTTTAGTGCTTATTGCAAACAGGATGCATGTTTTGGAATATTTTTTTATTCTGTACAGGTTTCCTTCTTTTCACTCTGTCATTTAGGTTAATATTGTGGAGTAACTACAATGTTGTTGATCCATCCTCAGTTTTCTCCCATCACAGCTATTAAACTCACCCTCACCTTTTAAAGTCACCCTGAGCGTTTTCCTTCCTCTACAGTAACTGAGTTAGGAAGGACGCCTGTATCTTTGTAGTGACTGGGTGTATTGATACACCATCCAAAGTGTAATTAATAACTTCACCATGCTCAAAGGGATATTCAATATCTGCTTTTTTTATTTTTACCCATCTACCAATAGGTGCCCTTCTTTGTGAGGCTTTGGAAAACCTTGCTGGTCTTTGTGGTTGAATCTGTGTTTGAAATTCACTGCTCGTCTGAGGGACCTTACAGATAATTAATTGTATGTGTGTGGTACAGAGATGAGGTAGTCATACAAAAATCATGTTAAACACTATTATCGCACACAGAGTGAGTCCATGCAACTTATCAAGCACGTTTTTTACTCCTGAACTTATTTAGGCTTGCCATAACAAAGGGGTTGAATACTTATTGACAAGACATTTCAGCTTTTAATTTTTATTAATGAGTAAAAATGTCTAAAAACATAATTCCACTTTGACATTATGGGGTATTGTGTGTAGGCCAGTGGCAAAAAAATCTCAATTTTATCCATTTTAAATGCAGGCTGTAACACAACCAAATTTGGAAAAAGTCACAGGGTGTGAATACTTTCTGAAGACACCGTATGTTATACAAGTGTCATCCAGGTGAGTAAGTCACCTTTGCGGAGCTGTCTGTTGTCTGCCTGTAGCTGTTGGTTTTGAGAGGACAGGCAGACTGCATCCTGTATGGCCTCCAGCATTAGAGTTCGGTACCTGCCCTCTGACACCCTCCTCTGCTCCTCACTCACCTACCGGAACACCTGATAAGGGGACGATGGTGGGGAGGCAGATTAACATGGTGGTGAAAGGTATGACACTGGAAAACGCTGGTAAGATATGCAGGGTTGGTTCAAAGAACGACGACCCTGTACGCAGCAACAAATGGAAATGGCCATGGAAACCTATTATTTCATGAAGCTCCAGACGAACAGTTATTGTGCTGATGTTGCTTCCAGAGGCAGTTTGGAACTTTGTAGTGAGTTTTGCAACCGAGGACAATTTTTATGCGCTTCAGCACTCAGCAGTCCCTTTCTGAGCTTGTGTGGCCTACCACTTCGCAGCTGAGACGTTGTTACTCATAGACGTTTCCACTTCACAATAATAGCACTTACAGTTGACCGGAGTAGCTCTAGTAGGGCAGACATTTGATGAATTGACTTGTTGGAAAGGTGGCATCCTATGAAGGTGCCATGTTGAAAGTCACTGATCTCTTCAGTAAGGCCATTCTACTGCCAGTGTTTGTCTATGGAGATTGCATGGCTGTGTGCTCAATTTTATACACCTGTCAGCAACAGGTGTGGCTGAAATAGCCAAATCCACTAATTTGAAAGGGTGCCCACATACTTTTGTATATATAGTGTACCTTTCTAGCTAATAGATTATGTTAGTTTACACTTCATCTTCCAATGAACTGTGGGTAGGTCAAAATAATGAATAGTCTATTCATTTTAAAATGTTGATTAGTTCTACTTGCCATTATCATTGGCAATGATAAATGACAAAGAGTGGTTATGGTTATTTACACTTTTTGTTATTTTTTGGCGGATAGATTCTATGTATACTGAGTCATGAAACCGTGTTTAGGTAGGAAACAGCATACTTTATTCATCCTGTCTGGTTCACATCTCTTGGTAGAATCACTTCCCCATATCTACATTCCTAATAGTCAAAGCATGCTTTAAAGACATGGACAAATAGACGTTAATCTAAGTTATATTATCTACACAGTACGCTTATCAACAAAGCCCTATGGCAATCTATGGGGAGAGGCAGATCAAGGAACCGGGAGGGATATGATTGGAGGACCAAGGTAAGGGACTAGGGGTCAAAGTTGACAGGAGTAGGGTCAGAGGGTCAGGGTTTGGGGACGAGAAAATCTGGATGTTGTGTGCAAAATGTCACTCACGCATCATATGTATATCTCTAGTAATGCTTAACATAGCTGAGCTGAGTTCATAAGCAAACATTTTAATAGTTTAAGCCTTATATGCTGTCCAAAGACAACCATCCATAAATCAAAAGAGAACATTGATTGGTTTGCATTCCAGGTAACTTAGCTATATGATGAGAAAGGAACAGTGAGATAGACAGAAGGAAACTTTTTTTTTTTGGGGGGGGGGGGGGGTCTGACAGTGAGATGAGGAGAGGACACTTGGTGAAGAAGTCCATCGGGTGCTGTGGTTGAGCTGTGGTTTTACTCATCTGCAAAATACAGAGAAAAGAGTCCACCATAAGTGCCAAACTATCATGCAATGTTTTCAGATGAACAGTCTAAAGACACAGTAGACAGACGTGATCCAAAGCGTTCTCTATATATTGTATTTCTGTCTGTCTGTTATTGAGTTTCTGTCTAACACTCACCATTGTACTCCTTCAGCTGCATCATCCTGGGGTAAGCTGCCATCCTCTGATGGGGGACTGTGGGAAACAAACAATAACATGAGACAACAGTACCATCACCACCACTATGTACCTACCAGATATACCGTTCTCCTATAGCATGTGTATTGTGTAATAATGACCCAATGAGCATTATTACAGACTGCCCGGGGTCATTAATGCAGTGTGCGCTGTCTGCCTAGTTCCTACCTCCGTCACAGATGGCTCTGCCACGCACGCTGGTGCCCTCGATGAGTTTGCCGTTCTTGTCCACACACCAGCAGAAGCCGGTGGCGTGCCAGCACTGCATGGGCAGGTAGTTGCCCTGCTCGTCACACTGAGGCAGGTAGGTGCCAACCTTATGGGGGTGGGCAGACATCTCCAGGTTACACTTGGTCTGCAGGCCAGAGGCTGAGGAACGGAGAGAGGAGAGGGAAAGAAGAGAGGAGAGGGAAAGAAGAGATAAGAGAGGAAAAGAAGAGAGAAGAGAAGAGAGGGAAAGAAGAGAGAAGAGCAATGGTAAGTTGATATTAAATGCTTGGTTCAGGGGGTGGAGGAAATAATAGAGGGAGAGACAAGAGACATTAAGTTATGTGGTGGGGGGTGAGGGTGAGGAGGTGGTGGTGATGGTGGTGAGGAAGAGGTGGTGGGAGGGGGGGTAAGCTCACCTGGCTGAGGTGTGGGGGAAGCAGGGGGCTTCTCCTGTGCCATCTGGAAGAGCAGCCAATAGCGCGCCCAGGTCTCAAAGCCCTGAGGAACACAGTCAGGGTTTAGGGTAAGATAGGGCTGGGCGATATTGACAGAATATCATATCACAATACTTTTCAAATTTTTGACGGTATTTACTACATGTTTTCTTACTTCATGTTGCTATCTAGCTAACCAACATATTCATGCTTCGCCTATTCCTCTCTGATAAGATACCGCTGCACAAAAATGCTTATCTAGGTCTACACCAGCACTGGTACCAGACAGTATTAGCTAACTAGCTCCGTTTGCTCTGACATTTAGTACATTTAGCAAGCTAGCTAGCCAGCTAACAAGCGATTTGCGGCTAATACAAATGATTTTTGCAACACCTTGCTAAGAAAATAAACTAGCAGACAGTAGTTTTCAGACAGCAAGATACACAAACTAAGTGTAATTATAGAGCGTTTGTGGAAAGCAGCATGTCACCAACACCGTAGCATCCATCTGACCATGCGGAGTGAACAGCAAGAAAGTGCTCATGACTCCGTGGTCGAGCAACTGCTCTCTCCTTGAGTGACAGGAGGCAGGGCTTGGTGTGGTTAGCAGGAGGAGAGGCAGAGAGATGACTCAAGTAGCAAACGGAGTAAACTATAAGAACGGACATTATATGCAACGGAGTATCACATCTAACAAACCAAACATTGAAATACTGTTATAGAAGGTAAAGTAAAAACTAAAACCATTCCTTGCATCAATACCGGTATATAGTAAAGCACGGTATACCACCCAGCCCTAGGGTAAGATACTGTAAGGTAATGTGGATCATATAATGTTTATCCATGGATATTCGTGTCTTAGGGTGTATTATCAGGGTCCCTATATAGTGCACTACTTCTGACCAGAGCCTTATGACCCTGGTCAAAAGTAGTGCACTAAAGAGAAATAGGGTGCCATTTGAGATGCAGTTAAGTCTTACCTTCCACTCAGTTTCCTCCATCTGGTCCTTCAGGCTCTGCAGGTTGGCCAGGAACGTCTCGTTGAACTGGGGCAGCTGGGGGTTCTGATCAAAAACACACAATCACATGATCAATCAATCAATCAATGGCTGATATTTAAACTGTCTCTGTCTTTGTAGAGGTGACTTCAATGCAAAGGGTGGATTCATTGATTAATATGTATTTATTAATTTACCTGCAGCAGATCCTTCACCTGCTCCTCCAGGCTCACAATTGCAGTGGCAGTGTCCTCCAGTTTCTGTTGGGAGAGCAGACAGACAGACAGACAATAAATACTTAATACTCATTTTTGTATTTCAAAGGAGCAGGAAGAGGGAGCTTAGTCCTAGGGGATAGATCTACAATGCAATTTCACTGGAGTTAAACAAGTTGACATTTACAAGTGAGCTAGTTGCTGCCATCTAGTCGCTGTTTTCCCTCAGTTCAAAAAAGCCTCTAAGACAGCCTTTCTTAAAGTATGGCTCGGACCTGTTAATGGTGGGTCGTGACGTGTCAGAGTAAGTGTATAGTTATTTAATTAATTACTGGAATTGATCTGTTCAGTGCGCTCTCTGCTTAGCAGCGGTGTCTGCTTAGTGTGGCAGCTGCGCAAGTGGGAGGGAGATGTGCGTGTGCTTCGCGGTTTACCATATCTCCACGACCCACACGCTGCAGCGTGGTCGTTCAGCAGCAGATTATGCGCTGTCAGTCACAGACTTGTCATTCCCACTCACCATCACTCACCGCTGTCATCAAATGGACTCAAGCTAGCCACAAGTTCTGACTGAGCTCAATCGTCAAGAAACCCAGATACAGCGATGAGTTTCTCTCTCTTGGTTTCATACATCCTTTAAGAAATAACCAGGAGCGCCCACAATGTGTTTTGTGCAGGGAAGTGCTTAGTAATGAGTCTCTCAAAACAAACAAATTAAAAGGACACGTCCTGACCAAAACATCCACAGCATGACAGTAAACCCAGGGAGTTCTTTCAGAACAGGGCAGAATGCTTCAGGAAACAGTGCTTCAACAGTGTAAAAGTTAAGTCAGCTAGCAGGGCATTGTTGTCATTTTCTAAGCAGAAATAAGGGAGTACTATCTCTCACATGCAAGTTTCTCTTTTAAACAATCCCCTTGTACACAGATACAGTTTGGCACCACATACAAGTGCTGAGCATGTCCTCAGGGTTGCACTGTCAAAAACTGAGCCCAGAATAGACCTGCTTGTTGAAAACTTCAACCAGCCACACACCTCTGTTATACATCTGTGTGATGTGATCAATCAGTTTCTTCCAGTTCAGAATGAAAATGATTTATTGTATTTTAACAGCAACAGTTCCAACCTAGACAGATATGTAACAGTGTTTTTAATGGGGAAATATTAATATTAATTGCTATTTATATGGGTATTTCATTTAATTGCATTTGTTTTGGGCATAAGAGCAATGAAATGTACCGATATTTACATATAGTTGCATGTTTTCATAAGGTTGGGTCCCAGGGAAACAGAATTTCTCATTTGGGTCCCAGGCTGAAAAAGTTCAATAACTCCTGCTCTAACAAGGGAAAGAGGAGTCATACCGTCATGGGAGTCTTGGTGTCCTCATCAGTGAAGTCGATCATCCGTGGCATGTTGAACATGGGCATCTGCATCTTGACAGGGGCCACAGCTGGAGCAAGGAGGGAAAGATGGAGACAGGTCAGTGTGAATAAAAGATAAAACACTTCAAATTGGGATTGAGGCTAGCCCCTCACAAACTTATAGAATAATCAGGGTTGGGGAGTAATGGATTACAAAAAAACTGTAACTGTAACTGTAATCATTACATTACCAGCTGAAATATTGTAATCAGATTGCAGATACTTTTGAAAAAGTAGATGATAACATTTAGCATTACTTTTGAAATTCAGAAAGGATGTTTGAGGAAAAATATTTTACACCTTTCTGTTTTCTCAATGACATTCAAATCAGCATTGAAAAAAGGCACAAGAGAGTCTAACCACAAATCAGAGACCACTATGATGACACACCAAATGCGTTTGATGGATTGCGGGAAAAGAGCAGGAATAGGCTTTTGTAGGGTACAGCGCAAGCTATGTATTCTAATGGTGCGACTGCTGTCGGCATCCAAAGATTATCCAACTTGAATACATGCTTGGAGGTAAGGATGACAACAGTGGTGTAGCCTACGAGCAATACTGATATCACTTATTATTGATATCTAGGCTACATAGCACATTGATGTGAATTACACTGCTGCTCTCTCATTTATTTGCGCCTGGGGACTGTGGTTGTTGTGGTTGGCTGTTCACTAATATACTGTATATTGTGTTTAAGCTGCCTATCAATCATTGTTTTTGTGACCAGGGGTGTATTCATTACAGAAACCGTTTACCGTTTAAGAACCAAACGGAAGCAAACAGAGCAAACAAGAGTTTCTATTGGAGAAATTCAGGTAGGTCCCTCCACATTTCGTTTGCTTCCGTTTAAGAAAAGTTTTGCAACAGAATCGGCGTAATGAATACGCCCCCCAGTGGACAGCCAGTGAAAAATGTGCTCTTAACAACAGCTGCATAGTGCGGATCCCAGCCTATGGAATAAAAGTTTGAGTTCCTCCCTTCTAAACTCCCCCGTGGTATTGTGCTCCATACTGTCAACAACTAGTTGCATTTAAGAAGACCAGGAGAGGGGCTTTTATTTTCTTCATGGAAAATTACCATCTAGTTTTTCACACGCAAACAGCACTTTTCTATAATGCTCAAAGCATGCCATTCTGAGAGCAGCATTTCTTTTTCAATTCGAAGCAATGAGCCCAAACAGTCCTCCATGACAAAAAAAATGAAAGAAAAAAGATTAGGCTAATTAGTCCTTTGTTTTTTGGGGTTATGCTCAGGTAAAACTATTTGGCTAATCTATATTTCCAAGTCCTATTCTTGAAGATCAAGGGGTATTAAATAATTGGAATGACTGTAAATCTGACAGACTTTGGGTTTTAATGTAAAGATATGACCTAATCATATTATTATCTGTAGTAGAAAGCAATGAGTTAGAAGATGCCTACATAACTAACCAATAAAGTAAAATGGAACATCCATTTATGGCCAGCTATGTAAACACTAACATTGATTTCTCCTGCAATTTATGTCATTCAATTGGTAATATACATGTTTTAGTCTTCTTCTAATGCCTATTAAGCAGGTTGACGTTTATTGGGACGAGTCTTGTCCTTAAGGTAGAATGGGCCAGCTGCAAAGTCAAAATTGGCTATATTGTAAAAATATATGAAAACAAAAAATTGCTTTTTGGTCTTCATTTAAGGTTATGGTTAGGCATTAGGGTTAGCAGTGTCGTTAAGTTTAGGTTACAAATCAGATTTTAAGACTGGCTGTGCCAACTACTAACACGCCTCTTAAGGGGAAAGTAATCTAAAAGTAACAAAGTAATCAGATTACAGAGTTTGGGTAATCAAAAAGTGACGTTACAGATTACAATTTTGGACAGGTAACTAACGGATTACATTTAGAAAGTAACTTACCCAACCCGTAGAATAATAATATATGCCTTTTACAGACGACTTCCAGTCATGTGTGTATACCATTTTTATTTTTTTATGTATGGGTGGTCCTTCTGTGGAATAAAACCACTATTTTCTATCCAGTCCCCCCCCCCCAGTCTCTCTTCCTAAATAAATTGATCTCACTTCCCTCTCCTTTGGCCACCAACTCTACATTTTACATTTTTACATTTTAGTCATTTAGCAGACGCTCTTATCCAGAGCGACTTACAGTTAGTGAGTGCATACATTTTTATTTGTTATACTGGAATCGAACCCACAACCCTGGCGTTGCAAATGCCATGCTCTACCAACTGAGCTACATCCCTGCCGGCCATTCCCTCCCCTACCCTGGACGACACTGGGCCAATTGTGCGCCGCCCCATGGGCCTCCCGGTCGCGGCCGGCTACGACAGAGCCTGGATTCGAACCAGGATCTCTAGTGGCACAGCTAGCACTGCGATGCAGTGCCTTAGACCACTGCGCCACATCAACAACCCTCCTTCCCCATTCCCTCTCCTTCCCCCATCCCCTCCCCTACCTGGTGGTCTGTTTCTCAGCTGCTTGCGCATGTTGTCGTTGCTCTTCTGCATGTCGTGGATCTGGCCCCTCTGGTTGAAGACCAGGTAGGCAGTGAGGGCCTGGCCGGCTAGGAGAAGACACGCCAGTACCGTGAACCCTGCTACCTTAAATGCACGGCTGTTAGAGGCCCTACAGATGAGAGGGAGAGCGAGCGAGATGGGTAGATGAAGGGAGTGAGATTAGGAGAGACAGAAAGTAAAAAGAGACAGAGGGAGAAATATAAGGAGAGAAACGGATTGAAATGATATCTTGATTTATGGAGACCTAACATTGTTTCCTTTTTTAAAAGATTATGGGGATCATAAATGCATTTCTGACATTTATGTGGTTGCCCTTGTGTGATCCCTGTACCTCCAAAAACTAATCAGAGCCCTGGTGCAGAGACAAAAGCTGATCCTAAACCAGTCAGAACGAAAATATTCAACACTGTTTTCTGTTCCTCATTCCTGAGCCAATGATAAATACAGGTTTGGGAGAAATCACTAGTTGCTAGGCAGAGGCTTCCTCTGAGTGTAAAGGAATGAGTGAAAGCATAGGGAAAGTTGTCAGCATCAGCAGATAACTCATACCATTGAGAATACTCCCAATATAATTTGTGCATACTTTCAATAATGATGTGAATTCAGAATGGCACACCAGTTGTAACCTTGAACAAATAAATTATATAAAATATTGCACTTGTTTATGGATTTTCCTAATATTTGTTTTACATCATTTTTGATACATGATTATCATTACATTTTACATTTTTGTCATTTAGCAGACGCTCTTATCCAGAGCGACTTACAGTTAGTGAGTGCATACATTTTCATACTGGCCCCCCCGTGGGAAACGAACCCACAACCCTGGCGTTGCAAGCGCCATGCTCTACCAACTGATAATTTGAGTTTACACATACTTGAACCTTAATTTGGGGAATGAAGAAACAGACTATAGACAATAGGCAGCTGTACCGAAGTAACTGCAAAATCTATAAAATATGTGTTTAGTAAAAATACTGCTATAAATGTCACCTTGTGGAGGTTGTTATTGGGAGGATAACGTCCTGGCTCCCCGCGCGCTCCAAGGAGCGCATCATCATCGTGTCTCCGCTGCTGTTGCTCCTCCATTCTTTCCACGTCTATGTTCTCTCAAATTCTGTGATCAAAACTAGATTCGGTCCGACAGACAGAACGATTTAACAGTACAGTAAAAAAGGATGATGTCTATTCGGAGAAAGCGTCTGTCTGAGATGAAAGGTTGTAAAGTCGGGATTGGAAAGCCCCGAGTCTATAAAGTGATGGGCAGGTTCAACTAGATTATTGAGTTTGAACTAAACTGTCATTGGTCAACCTGCCCTGCATCACTTGTTGATAGAGGCAGACAAATATGAAGCTATGAAAAAAGTTCAATAGTAGTTAGAAAGTAAATAGAAAATCCCCCCATTTGATTGCTTTTAAGGAAATGCATTAATTATTAATATCTTTAATTAATTCAGAAATTGAGTCCTAAGGTTAAACAATAATCCAGTTGTTATCTAGCACTGTACCTACACTGGTCCAGTAACCATATTGCATTAATTTGATAAAATAATAGATATAATACTTATGGACAGAGGTGCAATATTTTGCTTCTCTTGCGGTAATAAAATATACATAGACAAAATATATAAAAAGTCTGGCTTTTGTCCTTTATTCTATTTGAAATAGTGCGAATAGAATGCAGATTATTTTGAAGCTGCAGTATGGTATTAAGAAAAGTTGGTGGACATTTATGATTTTACAGTTGATAATGATGCAAGATGTTTGAAACCTTTCTCCCTAGAGACAACAATGCCAAAGTTCTAAAGTTATATCCTCATTGGATGCCTTGAAGGCTTTCATTTAAGTCTGTAAACCAATCAGTCATTCCATAGAACTGTGGATCAGAATTCCCCTTATTCTACAGTGAATGTTGGGGATTTTCCTATGAGGTAGTGGTGATGAGAAAAATGCAGAAAGACAAAACCCACAGAAGATGCAGTCAAAATGATTCAGATCATGGCATAAGGTCAGAAAATAATAAATACAGTACACATTTACTCTCATAGACTGTTTGAACCCAGTTTGGACTCTTATGGACAGTTTGGACCCTGGAGGTTGATGTTTGTACAAGAGGTCTCCTCGGGTCCACAAAGTTGGGGAACCCAGACCTGAACGGACCAGAGAACAATCAGACCCGAACCCAAATGGGTAGACTCTAGACCAGACCCGATTGGACCAGAGAACAATCAGACCCGAACCCAAATGGGCTAGACTCTAGACCAGACCCGATTGGACCAGAGAACAATCAGACCCAAACCCAAATGGGCTAGACTCTTGACCAGACCCGATTGGACCAGAGAACAATCAGACCCAAACCCAAATGGGCTAGACTCTAGACCAGACCCGATTGGACCAGAGAACAATCAGACCCGAACCCAAATGGGCTAGACTCTAGACCAGACCCGATTGGACCAGAGAACAATCAGACCCGAACCCAAATGGGCTAGACTCTAGACCAGACCCGATTGGACCAGACTGACAAAAGTATGATGTTTATCAGCAAAGTTGCTCTTCTGGTTAATGAATAGGTCTTCATATGTTGGCTAGGCCTTCTATAAGTCAATAAATTCACCTTATTAGCATACAATCAATATGCTATAGGCTATACAGAGCCGTGGTCGGGTCCGTTCGGGTCTATCAGCTGTAGTTACATAGAACCGAGACCAGATGACAATCAAACAGGATCCGACCCGAGGGAAAAGTATTCGGGTTTGGGTGGACCCTGTACTGATCTGATCTCATACCTAGCTACAAAATGAAAACATAACTCCAGTACTATACAACTGAAACCATTATACCATGTAAACATATAGTAAAACCTCTCTGTCCCGAGTGAGCTTCCTCAATGTTCATTTCCTCATCCTTGTTCCAAAATGCCCTCATGAGAGACTGTTCTCTTTGTCTTAGGTTTGAGCTGTAATCTGCTTCTCCTTTCCAAATGGTAGCTTCCTTCTCCGAAAACAACACTTGTGTATCAAACATTCAGAGACAGAGACTGGGGTCTTAGTGGGGAAAGACAAGAACATTTATGAAAAGTATAAAAATCAAGTGGTGTTTTATTTGCAAATTAAAAAGCACCAACAACATTAGTTACACTGTAAAAATTAACAATTACAAGTCTTTATCGTACAGTCCGGGGAGATTAGTACCATCATTGTTGTTATTGTGTTATTATCATGTCAATAATACTTTAAATAAAGAAATCAAGGAGCTCTGTACAACAGTTGGCAGTGTGGGGGTAGTTGAGAGAAGGATTAAGAGGGGAGGAACGTTCCTATGAACAGATAGGATGAAAGAGATCTGTTGGGACTTCAGCAGACGACACTATATTATGATCCATAGTAGTGATATTTCAATACTACCTGGATAATTCTGTCCCAACTGAATACCTCTTTCATTGCACTATGAGAGGGGGCCAGAAGAGTTTCACCTCAATCATATTCAATAATTGGTGTCTATAACATTAGATTAGAGTCAGGAAAGAAAAAAATGAACAGCATGTGCGTTGTTATTACGTCTGAACAACATTGTACAAAACTATTGCAGTAAGAGCAGCTTTTTGTTATGTATGCTTGCAGTGGTAGTACCATGTGACCAGTGTCTGAGTAACAACTACTATAACTGTAACTAGGGGCATACTGACTATGTTAGATGTGCATGTTTTAGATTCTCCCTGATGCAACTCAGAAATACTATGAACAACTGCTAAAACAAATGAAATGGAACATTCAAAAATAAGGATTTATTAAATTTTTTCCTCAAACTGCAGAAGACTGTTGGACATTAGTGCATTTAAACTTAGCTTATGTCAGACTTCACGGTCCCACTTTAAACAAAGTACAACTTCTAAAGGCTTTATAGCGCATACATAAAGGCTTCATAATTAGCGTATATCAATCTATGAATGGTGTATAAGCATACAGTGGGAACTGTTATGTCACCTTTTATACACCATTTAGAGTATGAAATATGATTATAAATGATTTGTGAATCATTTATGTAGCGCCTATGAAGCCTTTATGCATGCTATATAACGTCTTCATAAGTTGTACTTTGATTAGTGGGACCGACTTCACATACTGTAATATCTGTGTTATGACTGACCTTTCAGACAACCTGTTAAATTAGAATGACTGATCTTTCAGACAACCCGTTGAATTAAAATGACTGTGCCCTCAGACAACCTGTTGAATTAAAATGACTGTGGTTTCAGACAACCTGTTAAATTAGAATGACTGTGGGCTCAGACAACCTGTTAAATTAGAATGACTGTGGGCTCAGACAACCTGTTAAATTAGAATGACTGTGGTTTCAGACAACCTGTTAAATTAGAATGACTGTGGTTTCAGACAACCTGTTAAATTAGAATGACTGTGCTTTCAGACAACCTGTTAAATTAGAATGACTGTGCTTTCAGACAACCTGTTAAATTAGAATGACTGTGGTTTCAGACAACCTGTTAAATTAGAATGACTGTGGTTTCAGACAACCTGTTAAATTAGAATGACTGTGGGCTCAGACAACCTGTTAATTAGAATGGGAACTGTGGGCTCAGACAACCTGTTAAATTAGAATGACTGTGGGTTCAGACAACCTGTTAAATTAGAATGACTGTGGTTTCAGACCACTGTTAAATTAGAATGACTGCGCTTTCAGACAAACTGTTAAATTAGAATGACCGCGCTTTCAGACAAGCTGTTAATTAGAATGACTGCGCTTTCAGACAAGCTGTTAAATTAGAATGACTGTGCTTTCAGACAACCTGTTAAATTAGAATGACTGTGGTTTCAGACAACCTGTTAAATTAGAATGACTGTGGTTTCAGACAACCTGTTAAATTAGAATGACTGTGGGCTCAGACAACCTGTTAAATTAGAATGACTGTGGGCTCAGACAACCTGTTAAATTAGAATGACTGTGGTTTCAGACAACCTGTTAAATTAGAATGACTGTGGTTTCAGACCAACTGTTAAATTAGAATGACTGCGCTTTCAGACAAACTGTTAAATTAGAATGACCGCGCTTTCAGACAAGCTGTTAAATTAGAATGACTGCGCTTTCAGACAAGCTGTTAAATTAGAATGACTGTGGTTTCAGACAACCTGTTATATTAGAACGACTGTGCCCTCAGACAAGCTGTTAAATTAGAATGACTGTGGTTTCAGACAAGCTGTTAAATTAGAACGACTGTGCCCTCAGACAAGCTGTTAAATTAGAATGACTGCGCTTTCAGACAAGCTGTTAAATTAGAATGACTGTGGTTTCAGACAACCTGTTATATTAGAACGACTGTGCCCTCAGACAAGCTGTTAAATTAGAATGACTGCGCTTTCAGACAAGCTGTTAAATTAGAATGACTGTGGGCTCAGACAACCTGTTAATTAAAATGACTGTGCTTTCAGACAACCTGATAAATTAGAATGTGTGTATCTGTAAAGTCTATTTATGAGATGTACCAATACTTTGCATATTGTGCTTTCAATGTGTGCTGCCTTGTCTGTCTGCCTTGCACTTCCTGTGCTGTGCATTCGACCCCATCCGAAACAGAAACGGAGCAAAACGTGTTTCTGATCACCTTCTACAATAACATGTCTCCAAATCACAATCTTAAAATATAAGAACCGTCAACAGGCCATGTAATGTAGTGGTGAGGATTCTGTCCTGGCACTGGTAAATGTGTTAATGTCTAGTGTCTAAAGGCCTAGTGAATAATACCACATCACACCTGTAGCCTGAGTCTATATATAACATACCACCCCCCTATGGTTTTTACACAGAAACCACAAGCATTTTCAACTAATGGCATTCATTATTTCATTGATTCAAGTACTAATTGATCTCTGCTCTAGTGTAATATCTGCCCTTTCTTCACCTCACTCAGCCTTAAATGACTGGTGCTGTGCAGGCTAGCCAAGTCTCACTCTTCCTCTTCATCCTCCTGTTCCTCCCAAGAGTAAGGTCCAAGTCCATGTGAGGAAGGCAAGGGAAAGTCAAAGAAAGAGGGGATGAGGGTTGACCACACCCTCCTCTCCATCCCATCCTATCTGTACCGGTACCTTCACACCCCTCCACCTCCGTAAGAGGTGGTGCAGTCCTGTGGGGAGTCTCTTCCTGGAATGTACCAAGTAAGGGTGGTGGTGTTTCATGGGGAGGTACAATTTAGGCAGAGAGAGGAGACTCACCGCCCACTGGTCACCATCCCTGCTCTCCCTTCCTCCCTGTCCTTTCCTCCCTGTCCTTTCCTTTCCTCTTATGAAGAGCATATAGAGAAGGAGAGGCTTTCATCATAACACACCCCTTTCTGAACCCTGTCAAGGGTAAGTATTTAATCCCCTATGGATCCTCCAGGGGATTAATATCATACTCCTCCATATGGGGGGTGGTTAAGCTGTGGTACAGTCCACTGAGCTGCTACCTGGTATGGACCAGTTCCTCTCGGAGCCAGCTGGGCAGGGGCTGGCCCATCCTGTACAGCAGCTTAGATAATGCTATGTTTTGATCCATGTAGTGCTCCCTGAGGAACAACTGGGACTGGACAGAGACAGAGACAGAGACAGAGACAGAGAGACAGAGACAGACAGAGAGAGAGAGAGGGACAGAGAGGGACAGAGAGAGAGACAGAGAGGGACAGAGAGAGAGAGAGAGAGAGAGGGACAGAGAGAGAGAGAGACAGAGAGAGAGTGAGAGAGAGAGAGAGACAGAGAGAGAGAGAGAGAGAGAGAGAGAGAGAGAGAGAGAGAGAGAGAGACAGCGACAGAGAGAGAGAGAAGGAGAGAGGAGAGAGAGAGAGAGGGACAGCGACAGAGAGAGAGAAGGAGAGAAGGACAGAGAGAGAGGGACAGAATAGATGGGACAGATAGATAGGCCAGAGAGAGGGACAGACGACGCGAGAGAGAGTGACATAGAGAGAGAGACAGAGAACCTCGACAGAGAGAGACAGAGAGTGACAGAGAGAGGAGAGAGAGAGAGGGAGGAACGAGAGAGAGAGTAGACAGAGATGGACGAGAGAGAGAGAGATAGGAGTAGATAGAGGCGAGTGCCAGCGACAGAGCGAGAGAGAGAGAGAGTAGAAGAGAGGAGAAGGAGAGAGAGGAAGATAGAGATGGATAGACTATCTCTATCCGAGAATCTTTAGAGATTATATACTGCTTATATCACTCCGACCCTGCTTTCTTATAATTCTTCTACTGACCGCCTCACCTCTGATAATCTTTCTAAAGACGCTCTACTGCTAGCAAGTAGAGTTCAGGACGACTAAGCGCTAGAGGTAGATAAGGAGAATAGAGGGATAGAAGGTATATAAGATGAGCCAAGTCTACCGAGATAGAGAGATAATCATGATAGAGATATATCAAGAGGATATAGAGATATAGATATGAGATATAGAGTAGATATAGAATAGAGAGAGAGATAGAGAGACATGCGACATATAGACTCTACTAGAGAGAGACGACTAGGACTAATATGTATGAGATTGCTATGGACAGATAGAGATATAGAGAGATAGATTTATAAGAGATACAGCGAGAGATTAGATAGAACATATATGTTACGAGAGAAGAGATGATTGACAGAGAGATAGAGATAGAGGAGAGATAGATATAGAGAGAGATAGAGATATATATATATAGAGACAGGCGTGACGAGAGATAAAGAGTAGAGAGAAATATATATAGAGTTATGAGATCGATAGATAGAGGGACAATCTAGGCCATATATTAAGAGATGAGAATGTTATAGATAGATGAGACTAGAGATAGAGGATAGAATTATAGAGAGTATTAATATGTCTATAATTATATATATTTATATATTTATAGAAGTATATAGCGATTATATAGGAGATAATTATAGATATGAGGGCAATAGTATGTATCAGACATAATACATACATACATAACATATAGTATATAATTCTATAATAGATATATATATATGATATTTACTATATTACATATCGGTATTAGTACAGTATATAGATGTTACATATATATAGATTATATTTATTAAATAAATTATATAGTATGTTATAGAATTATATATATGATATATATAGATATAATATATATATATATATAGATATATATATATGATATATATATATCTCTGAGAGAGAGAGAGGCGAGAGGAGAGATGAGAGAGAGAGGATAGGAGAGAGATATATAATTATCATTACAAACACAGCCAGGATTCAATCAATGTTATCTGGCGCTCACACAAATAAACACCCCCTTATCAGTTACAAACAGAATAATCCTAGAGGTAATTAACAAACATGTATCTTAATGAACAAATATCAGTGAACAACTTGTATTGGCAAATTACAACTCTTACCTCTGGGTCCATGTCAGGGTACCGCCGCCCCTTGCTCTTCCCAGACACTTGGTCTTCCCTTCCTCCAGCAGCTGACACCAGAAGCCTTTCTTGGGGTCAAACCTGGAGAAAACATATTAAATCTTAATCTGGGAGCCCCAGTTAAAAATGTACAGGACAATTTGCATTTTAAAATGCTCTTTGTTACAATACATCTAGGCCCATATTGACATATGGAGGTAAGTGGCTAGGGAAGTTATCTGTTCTGTGTTTGTGAAGTGACTCACGCTAGGATCCTGTGGTAGTTGACCATGTTGACCAGGCCTAGAAACTTCTGGATCCTGTCCATAACTGAGGCCGGCTCAGTCTTCAGCTGCTGCCCATCCAGAACCAGGACCTGACTGGAGTGGTAGTGGTTGAGCCATCGCTCCATGTGGACGGCGTACCAGCCCGGCACCAGGCAACGGTTCTGGAGCACACGCAGTTTCACTGGGGCATCATGGGTAGCCGCGATGACATCATGGAAGGAGTATTTCAGAGCCACTGGGTCGTCATGGGCGCGCTGGTGCTGTAGGGTTATAATATGACATAGGGTTATAACATGACAGTCAAAATGAGGAATAGTTATGTATCGTACAGACCTGGTACCATGAGTAGTAATTATGCATTATCTACAACAGATATAAGGAGTTATAACCAACCTGGTACCATGAGTAAGCGCGGTCAGCTGGGTTGATGAGGATGGTGATGATCTTGGCCTTTGGCAGGAGGGCGGCCGCCCGCTCCGCTGCCACCTCGGAGTCAAAGTAGTTGGCACTTTTCTCAAAGTAGTAGTCTGAGCTGGTGTTGGATGGCAAGGGGAAGTACTCCATGTACCTGTGTGTTCACCCAAAGACAAAACAGATGCACTAACTAAATTATAGACTGACAGAACACAGACAGAACACTGACAGAAGCACAGATGAAGTCAACTCCTGGACTAGAAAGCATTATAATTTCTAAACCGTTTTCAATTTGATTTTAGTAATTTACATTTTTAATTTTTAGATCATAAGGAATAAGATGACATGGACAGGGGAGGCCTGATCCTAGATCAACACTCCTGCACCTGAGACCCTTTATGAATACGTCCCAGAGCTCTTTCTCTGTGGCAGTCATACATCAAGGCTCCTGTGGTAATTGTGTCCATTGAAGAACTTGAATCTCCAAAGGTCTCCTTGCTGGGTAGTTACTGGTCATGTCAGGGAGGGTTGCATGCCAGGAACAGATAGAGGGCTGTAGAACCTGGGCGTAGATGATGGATGAAGGTGATTGTAGGGGATGTAGGGCTGCGATGGAGGGATGCGAGGGATAGAGAGAGGTCTGGACGGAAAGATAGAGAGAGGATGTGTGGAGAGAGGATTATTTTGAAGCTTGACTATTGCTGTGAGCACCTTTGCCAGTTCACATTCATAACAATTAATGATAAAACAAATTGTCTCGTTAGTGTCCTGTTCCCATCAGTGTGTGTGAGTGTTTCTCATAAACCGCCTTCTGCTTTCTCTGCGGAGGAGAGCGAGTCAGTCAGTCATCTGTGAAAGGCCAGTTCCCGTTATTCTGTCCTGTACTGAGAATGTGTAACTCTGAGAGAACAACACCTCCTCTGCAGCCCAAAGTCTCAGAAACCTCCTACAGGCCAGAGCAAATCCCTCTCAACTCTAACTACTCATCACTGTGATAATTACATATGAGGAAGGGAAACGAAACACAAGTGAGGTGAAATGCATCCCAAATGGCACCCTATTCCCTATATAATGCACTACCTTTGACCAGGGTAGGGCTCTGGTCAAGAGTAGTGCATTATACAGGGAATAGGGTAACATTTGGGATGGGAAGCAAGCAGAAGTGAGATTGTGGACGGAGAGTCATAGCTAGTGATGTCCACTAGGTGGTGCTGGTGTTCCATCTCTCTCACCTGTCTTCTGAGGCCCAATGACAAGCAGCTTGGGGAAACGGTCGCATGTCTTCTCCTTTGACCAAATGTCCTTATGCCTTTTGTCCTCGCAGGGATCCTGTAGGACCAGGGTTTATGAGTGTCGTTAGTAATTCTTACTTTGGTCCAGTTGCTTAACTTCTAATAGTCTAACAGGGCTCTGCCACCTTCCACCGCAGATGCAGAAGGCCAACATAGGCAGATGCCGTGGATAGCTTAAACTGACGGATTTTGAAGGGGATTTTTTTATTATGTTACTTAGATTCATGTCTAAGTAACATAATAAAAACTCATGTCAAACACCTATCTAAATGAGATTAAGCTGTGTGCATTCAGGTTAAAGGGAGGTTCCACTCAAAATACAATCTAACATGATTTTTCCACTTAGCTTGGCTGTAGTTGATTCCCCAAGATAGTTATCACATTCCAGTATTAGTCAATGCACACATCCAGTTCCAGTCAGTATCTCTCTGTCCCACAGACTGACCTGCCAGAGTGGGTTTCTCTCGTTGGGGAAGAGGCTGAAGTATCTGTGGGCCAGCTGGATGGGAGGCAGGGTCTGCAGCCGCAGGTTGGTCCAGGTCTGCAGGAAGGCCACCAGGCTCTTAAAGGTGTACACAGTCCCCCCTGATCTTGTCGTTAACCATAGTTAGCAGGTGGTCATGAAATACTGATTGGTAGGAGTAGATGAGAGCGAAACAGGAGAGAGGAGAGGAGAAACAGGAGATAGGAGGAGAGAAACATGTAGATAGAGATAGAAACAAGCAGAGAGGTGATACAGTATAGAGAAAAACAGAGAGAGAAAACAGGATAGAGGAGAAACACGAAGAGAGAGATAACAGGAAGAGGAGAGAGAAAGGAGATGCCGGAGCGAGAAACAGGATGGAAAAACCCAAAAAGGGTTATGAGATGAAACGTAGAGAGGATAGAGAGAAACAGGAGGGATAGAGAGAAAAACACCAAAGATGAAGAGAAACATGCTAGATTAGAGAGATAGAGATCATGTCTAGCTAATATAAAACAGTAGTAATGTATATAACATTAGATAGTGAACAGGAGTATGACAATATATAAACATATATAGAGATAGTCGAGAGAGATTAGCTAGGAGAGATCGAAGAGAGAGTATGATAGAGAGAGATATAGAGGAGAGGTCGAAGAGAGGATAGATGAGATATCATATATATATATATAGATAAGTATACAGATAGATATATATATATATATAGATATATAGAGAACCATGATATATTATATATAAACATTCTATCTATTAGTATATAAACATATGTATTTATATAGACATGCGATAGTTTAGATAGATAAACATTCTAGACATGATATAGAAACATTAGATATATAGATAGTAAACCTTAGAAATATGTGAAATCTTATATAGAGATAGCAACATGTGAGATAGATATAAACAGTAGAAAAGAGTAGATGAGAATAAACATTTATATGAGTATATATATCTTTAGCTATATCTATAAACATTATATATACACAGTAGTATAGATATATAAACATTATATAGTATCTAGTAAATATTTCATAGATATAAACTATAGATGATCATATATAAACATATATGATATATTAACATTCATAATTATATATATAACATTAGCATATATTAGATAAACATTATATATATATATAACATTATATATTATCATATGAATATTATATCTATATCTCATTATAAACATTATCATAGTATATATAGAACTTATGATATGATTAGATAACAGTAGAGAGATATAAAGCCAGTGTAGATATCACTTACATTCAGCTCTGATTTACTTATGTGGTGGTTTGGCGCGTTGTGTGTCTGTATGTCTGCGTTAACTCACAGGGTTGAGTAGGACAGTGAGGAACAGCTCTCCTCCGTTAATGAGTTTGTCCAGTTCATTGGGACTGCCTGGGTACTCCTTATAGAAGATGGTGTGTGTAAACAGGCCACACGTCTGCCTGGGCAAGACCTGCAAACACACACACACACACTTATAAGTCAATGACACACACAAGCACGCACACGCACACACACAAACGCGCACATGCACACACACACACACACAAGCACACACCAGCCCCACTGGTCTATTCAATGCAAAACATTCCAAACCCCAAGCAATATAAACACTTTTGCTTTCAATAATCTTATTATTATTATTATTATTATCATTTGGAGAAGCAAACCTCTTATTCACTCTGAGTCTATATGTAAATTTAGATTTACTTGTGTTTTGGTGGCGTGCCGTCAGGGTTTATGCTGTGGAGGGAAAAGTCTCTGTTGTTGATGTTGTTGTTGTATTGTTAAAAGTGTATCCAAGAGGTAGTGTCTGGGGGCCGGTCAGAGTGATTGGTAGTGTCTGGGGGCTAGTCAGAGTGGTTGGTAGTGTTAGGGGGCCAGTCAGAGTGGTTGGTAGTGTTTGGGGCCCAGTCAGAGTGGTTGGTAGTGTTTGGGGCCCAGTCAGAGTGGTTGGTAGTGTTTGGGGCCCAGTCAGAGTGGTTGGTAGTGTTTGGGGCCCAGTCAGAGTGGTTGGTAGTGTTTGGGGCCCAGTCAGAGTGGTTGGTAGTGTTTGGGGCCCAGTCAGAGTGGTTGGTAGTGTTTGGGGCCCAGTCAGAGTGGTTGGTAGTGTTTGGGGTCCAGTCAGTGTGGTTGGTAGTGTTTGGGGGCCAGTCAGAGTGGTTGGCGTAGCTACAGTCCACTATCACATACTGCTGTAGAGGGATCCTCAAACACTGACTGACCAACAGGAAGGCATAATGAGGCTGGCCATTCCAAGGCCACTGTTGCCACGGTGATACAAATAAAACCAACCTGCTGTTCTTTCCATCTCAGAGGAGGAAGAGAGAAGGAGAGATGTTGATAGGAGATACAGAAAAAAGAGAAGAAAGAGGGAGAGATGGTGAGATAAGTGGTGGTAATAGAGTTATGAAGATGAGATAGGTGGTGGTAATAGAGTTATGAAGATGGTGAGATACAGCGGCTTGCGAAAGTATTCACCCCACTTGGCATTTTTCCTATTTTGTTGCATTTGATTTACACAACATGCCTACCACTTAGAAGATGCAAAATATGTTTTATTGCGAAACTAACAAGAAATAATACAAAAAAATGGAAAACTTGAGCGTGCATAACTATTCAACCCCCCCAAAGTCAATACTTTGTAGAGCCACCTTTTGCAGTAATTACAGCTTCAAGTCTCTTGGGGTATGTCTCTATAAGCTTGGCACATCTAGCCACTGGGATTTCTGCCCATTCTTCAAGGCAACACTGCCCCAGCTCCTTCAAGTTGGATGGGTTCCGCTGGAATCTTTAAATCATACCACAGATTCTCAATTAGATTGAGGTCTGGGCTTTGACTAGGCCATTCCAAGACATTTAAATGTTTCCCCTTAAACCACTCGAGTGTTGCTTTAGCAGTATGCTTAGGGTCATCGTCCTGCTGGAAGGTGAACCTCCTTCCCAGTCTCAAATCTCTGGAAGACTGAAACAGGTTTCCCTCAAGAATTTCCCTGTATTTAGCGCCTTCCATCATTCATTCAATTCTGAACAGTTTCCCGGTCCCTGCCAATTAAAAACATCCCCACATCATGATGCTGCCACCACCATGCTTCACTGTGGGGATGGTGTTCTCGGGGTGATGAGAGGTGTTGGGTTTGCGCCAGACATAGCATTTTCCTTGATGACTCAGGTCTCATCTGACCAGAGTACCTTCTTCCATATGTTTGGGGAGTCTCCCATATGCCTTTTGGCAAACACCAAACATGTTTGCTTAATTTTTTTCCTTTAAGCAATGGCTTTTTTCTGGCCACTCTTCCGTAAAGCCCAGCTCTGTGGAGTGTACGGCTTAAAGTGGTCATATGGACGGATACTCCAATCTCAGCTGTGGAGCTTTGCAGCTCCTTCAGGGTTATATTTGGTCTCTTTGTTGCCTCTCTGATTAATGCCCTCCTTGCCTGGTCCGTGAGTTTTGGTGGGTGGCCCTCTCAGCAGGTTTGTTGTGGTGTCATATTCTTTCCATTTTTTTATAATGGATTTAATGGTGCTCCGTGGGATGTTAAAAGTTTCTGATATTTTTTTATAAATCAACCCTGATCAGTACTTCTCCACAACTGTCCCTGACCTGTTTGGAGAGCTCCTTGGTCATGTGACAGATCATGTGACACTTAGATTGCACACAGGTTGACTTTATTTAACTAATTATGTGACTTCTGAAGGTAATTGGTTGCACCAGATCTTATTTAGAGGCTTCATAGCAAAGGGGATGAATACATATGCACGCACCCCTTTTCCGTTATTAATTTTTTTGATTTTATTGAAACAAGTTATTTTTTTCATTTCACTTCACCAATTTGGACTATCTTGTGTATGTCCATTATGTCACGGTTTCGGCCGAGGCTGCTCCTCCTCCTTGTTCGGGCAGGCTTTGGCGGTCGTCGTCTCCGGAGTACTAGCTACCACCGTTCTTTGTTTCGATGTTTGTTTGGTTTGGTCTGTTTGGTACACCTGTTCATGTTTAGTGTTGATTATGTGTCCTATAAGTTCTCGTTGTTTCTGTCATGTGTTGTGTGTAATTGGTTTCACCTGTCTGTTGGTGCTGTTCACTTTTTGCCAGTCGCTAGCGTGTACCGTCGCACTGTTGTTTTCGTGCGCAGTCGGTTTTGTGTTTTACGCACTGTTGCGTATTGTTCGCCTCCGGGTTGGTTAGACCCGTTTGTTATTTTGTATTTTCAAGTAAAGACTGGTTTGACTTAGCTCCTGTGTCCTGCACTTGATTCCGCACCACATCCGCATCAGATACCCTGACACATTACATGAAATCCAAATGAAAATCAATTTAAATTATAGGTTGTAATGCAACAAAATAGGAAAAACGCTAAGGGGGATGAATACTTTTGCAAGGCACTGTAGGTGGTGGTAATAGAGTTATGAAGATGGTGAGATAGGTGGTGGTAATAGAGTTATGAAGATGATGAGATAGGTGGTGGTAATAGAGTTATGAAGATGGTGAGATAGATGGTGGTAATAGAGTTATGAAGATGGTGAGATAGGTGGTGGTAATAGAGTTATGAAGATGATGAGATAGGTGGTGGTAATAGAGTTATGAAGATGGTGAAGAGAGTAGGAAAGAGAAGGCATGAGGTAGAGACAGAAGGATGAAGGCTAGGTGCAGCCAGCACCATCTTGTTTACACCTATTCTGTAACTTCATATCTGCAAAGGAAGACAGAGCAAACCAGAGATGGAGAGAGAGAGAGTAAACGTCAGTAAGGGCCCTGTGACTCACGCTGATACCGCTGTGTATGAATCCTCGTCTGAAGCGGGCAGGTTTGAGGTGGGGGTATTCCTCTGTGCTGGTCACCCTGATTCCCCATACCTTCTTCCAGGCATCGTACAGCTGCAGGTGGACCGGGTACACCCCAGAGTGGTGGGGGGCTACAGCATAGCCCATGTTAGTGGGAATACCGTGCTCCTGGAAAGAGAGAAAAGGGGAGGCAGAAGAGGGGTAGATGGGGGTGGAGAGAGAGCGAGATAGGAGGTGGGTAGGGAGGAAGAAGGAATCATAATTAAAATCACAGCCAGGATTCAGACTGATACGACCTGACACACACATAAGTCATTACCAAGTGATTTCTCTCACTCAGCACCAGCCCTCACTGTATTGCTCCTCATTAGCAATGCTAAAACTAGCCCAACACAGCACATAAATGGTACTGTAGATCTGCCATGATACAACGGGTGCGTGAGGTAACGAGCAGCATTAGTTCTGGTGCTTTGGACAAATCACCATTTTACAGGTGTTATTTCAGAAGGGGAGGGGACAGTCGGCCTGTAACATGCAAAGAGAGAGGGTGGAGCTCTTCGCTCTGGTTCCAATCCTTGTTCTAGCTCTTCTCTTAACAAGTATGGACCCAGAACTTAATCGAGCATCTGACCAATTACGCAAGACTTTAGTTCTGGGTTAACCGAGATTAGGCTAACGTTAGCATTTCTAATGAGGAGCAACAAAGTAATGAGGCCCCGTGTAGCTCAGTTGGTAGAGCATGGCGTTTGCAACGCCAGGGTTGTGGGTTCGATTCCCACGGGGGGCCAGTATGAAAATGTATGCACTCACTAACTGTAAGTCGCTCTGGATAAGAGCGTCTGCTAAATGACTATAAATGTAAACATTTTAACTGTTAGCATCCCACTGCTAGCCCCCAGACAGACAGAGACTCACCATAGCGAACCTCTTGTTGAGCAGCATCTGTTCAGCTAGCACTGACTGGTTGTGGAAGAGGTGGGGCTGCATGTGGCTCCACATGTGGGGGAACCACCAGAACTCCTTGACGTAGGAGAGGAGCAGGTCATCCCCCAGGTCCTCCTCATCTGACCCTGGAGACAAAGGGAGGAGAAGGAGAGGAGAGAAGGTAAGAAGATGGGAGGTGTGCAGAAGGAGGACAGGGAGAGGACCGGATGGAGCAGGAGAGTAGCAGCGAAAGAGAGGAAAGAATGAAGAGGAGGGAAGGGGGAGGGAGAGAAAAATGTTTGTTTGATAAACAATGCCTGGAAGAAGGTGTGGTGTATGCCCTCGAGTTATAAAAGCAATGTGTATACTGCTTGGATTTGTGAATAGTATCCTGTCTGTCTTACCTGCATGGAAGAACTTCCCTGAATAGCCCAGGTTGAAGGTGAAGTTGGGTACATGGTTACGCAGCTCTCTCTGGGTCTCCAACAGGGCCTGACACAGGGAGGAGGAGAGGGGGGGGGGGAGGGGGGGGGGGGGGGTGAGCAACACACACACACAGAGCTCATCTTGTTGATCTGTATCTCTCTCCCTGTTCACGTCCTCATCAACCCCCGGCTGCCTCTTATCTCTCCTTCATTCTGTTTGATATCTCTCTCCTCTGATTTGAGTTTGTTTCATTTATTGTCTATATATGAATCCACGCTTCCACTCTCACTTTCTCCCAGTCTCCCTCTGTCTCTCCTGCCTTGTCAGGTTCCTTCCATACACCTCACTGTTCAGATGCCAAGCGATGAAAGAAGCCTTGATATACTACTCCTGCTATTCTACTTTTCTACCCCTGCACATGAGAGGAGGTACAACTCTGATGAGGGATGGAGAACAACACAGACAACCAAAAAGGTCCTTCTATTCTGTGTTGAAATATGAATGGATATGGTTTTGGAGAGAGTGTGTCCCCCTATCGGAACGCTGAAGCCTGTCAATTCTGAGGAGCCTACTGAGATGAATACAGAGACAGAGCAGGTGGAGGGAGAGAATAGGTTTAATATAATATTAGGAACGGCAAGATGCCTGTCATGTGCTGTACCAACCCACTTACAGTGCTTTCGGAAAGTATTCAGACCTCTTCCCTTTTTCCACATTTTGTTACGTTACAGCCTTATTCTAAAATTGATACAATTATTTTTTTCCCTCGAACTACACACAATACCCCAAAATGACAAAGCAAAAACAGGTTTTTAGATATTTTTGCAAATGTATAAAAAATAAACAGAAATACCTTATTTACATAAGTATTCAGACCCTTTGCTATGAGACTCGAAATTGAGCTCAGGTGAATCCTTTTTCCATTGATCATCCTTGAGATGTTTCTACAACTTGATTGGAGTCCACCTGTGGTAAATTCAATTGATTGGACATGATTTGGAAAGGCACACACCTGTCTATATAAGGTCCCACAGTTGACAGTGCAAGTCAGAGCAAAAACCAAGCCATGAGGTCGAAGGAATTGTCCGTAGAGCTCCGAAACAGGATTGTCTCGAGGCACAGTTCTGGGGAAGGGCACCAAAAAATGTCTGCAGCATTGAAGATCCCCAAGAACATCATTCTTAAATGGAAGGAGTTTGGAACCACCAAGACTCTTCCTTGGGTTGGCCATCCGGCCAAACTGAGCAATCGGGGGAGAAGGGCCTTGGTCAGGGAGGTGACCAAGAACCCGATGGTCACTCTGACAGAGCTCCAGACTTCCCCTGTGGAGATGGGCGAACTGTCCAGAAGGACAATCATCTCTGTAGCACTCCACCAATCAGGCCTTTATGGTAGAGTGGCCAGACGGAAGCCACTCCTCAGTAAAAGGCACATGACAGCCCGCTTGGAGTTTGCCAAAAGGCACCTAAAGGACTCTCAGACCATGAGAAACAAGATTATATTTTGCCTGAATGCCAAGCGTCACATCTGGAGGAAACCTGGCACCATGATGGTGGCAGAATCATGCTGTGGGGATGTTTTTTAGTGGCAGGGACTGGGAAACTAGTCAGGATCGAGGGAAAGATGAACGGAGCAAAGTACAGTGAGATCATTGATGAAAACCTGCTCCAGAGCGCTCTGGACCTCAGACTGGGGCGAAGGTTCACCTTTCAACAGGACAACGACCCTAAGCACACAGCCAAGACAATGCAGGAGTGGCTTCGGGACAAGTCTCTGAATGTCCTTGAGAGGCCCAGCCAGAGCCCGGACTTCAACCCGATCAAACATCTCTGGAGAGACCTGAAAATAGCTGTGCAGCGACGATCCCCATCCAACCTGACAGAGCATGAGAGGATCTGCAGACAACAATGGGAGAAACTCCCCAAATACAGGTGTGCCAAGCTTGTAGTGTCATACCCAAGAATACTCAAGGCTGTAATCGCTGCCAAAGGTGCTTCAACAAAGTACTGAGTAAAGGATCTGAATACTTATGTAAATAAGGTATTCGGTTTTTTATTTTTAATACATTAGAACATTTTTCTAAAAAACCTTTTTTTGGTTTTTTATGGGTTTTTTAAAAAAAAAAAAAAAATTTTAAAAAAAATTTTTAAAATTGGGGGTTAAAAAAATTTTTTTCCCTTTTTTAAAAAATTTTTTTTTTTTAACCAACCCCCCCCCCCCCTTTCCCCCCCCCAAAAAATTTTTTAAAAAGGGGGGGGGGGGAAAAAAAACCCCCCCCCCGGCAGGGCCCCCCCCCCCAAAAAAAGGGGGAAAAGGTTTTTTTAAAAAAAAAATTTTTTTCCCCCCCCCCCCCCGGGGGAAGGGGGGGAGGGGGGGCCCCCCCCCCCCGGGGGGGGGGGGTTTTTTTAAGGGGGGGTTGGTTTGGGGGTTAAAGGAAATTTCCCCGGGGGGGGAAGGGGGCCCGGGGGTGGGGGGGGGGGGGCCCTGGGTTTTCCCCCCCCCTTTTGGGGGGGGGGGAGGGGGCCCCGGAAAGGGGGGGGGGGGGGCCCCCCGGGGGGGTTAAAATTTTTTGGGGGGGGGTTTAAAATTTTTATTCCTAAAATTTTTTTTTGGGGGAAAAAAAATTTTTTTTTTTGAAAAAATTTTAAATTTGGGAAAAAATTTTTAAAAAAAATTTAAAAGGCCCCCAAAAAAAAAAGGGGGAAAAAAATTAAAAATTTTTTTAAACCTTTTTTTCCCCCCTTTTTTTTTTTCCCCCCCAACCCCCCCCTTTTCTTCCCCCTTTTCTCTTTCCCCCCCCCTTTTTTTTTGGGGGGGGGTTTTTAAAACCCTTTGGGGGGGAAAAAAAAAAACCCAAAAAACCCCCCCCCCCCCCCCCAAAAAAAAAAAAAATTTTAAAACCCCCCCAAAAAAAACCCCCCAAAAAAAAAAAGGTTAAAATTTGGTGTTTTGGGTTCCCCCAAATTTTTAAAAAATTTTTTGGTTTTCCCAAAAACCCCCTTTTAAATTTTTCCCCCCCCCCTTTTTTTAAACCCCCCCCCCTTTGGTTTTTTTCCCCCCCCTTTTTTTAAAAAAAAAGGGGGGAAATAGAGGAAAAGAAAAGGTTTTGGGAAAAAAAGGGGGGAAAGAAAAATTTTGGGGGAAAAGAGAGGGAAAAAAAGGGGGGGGGGGCCCCCCCCCCCCCCCCAAACCCCCCTCTCCCCCTTTTTTCCCCCCCCTTTCCTTTTCCCCCCCCCCCCCTTTTTCCCCCCCAAAAAAAAAAAAAAATTTTAAAAAGGGGGGAAAAAAAAAAAGACCAAAAGGGGGGAAAAAAAACCCCCCCCCCCAAAAAAAAAAGGGGGAAACCCCCCCCCATTTTGGGGGGGGAAAAAAGCCCAAAAAAACCCCCCCCCCCCCCCCAAAAAGGGGTTTTCCCCCAAAAATTTTTCCCCCCCGGGGAAAGGGGGGGCCCCCCCCCCTTTTTTAAAAAAAACCCCCCCCCCCCCGGGGTTGGGAAAAGGGGGGAAAGGGGAGGGGGAAAAACCCCCAAAAAGGGGGGGGGGGAAAAGGAGAGAGGGAAAAAAGGAAAAAAAAGGGGGAAAAGGGAAAAAAGAGGGGGGGGGGAGAAAAAGGAAAAAAAGGGGGGGGCCCCCCCCAAAAAAAAAGGGGGGGGGGGGCCCCCCCCTTTTTTTTTTTTTCCCCCCCCCCCCCCCCCCCCCCCTTTTTTGGGGGAAAAAAAAAAACCCCCCCCCCCCCACCCCCAAAAAAAAAACAAAAAAAAGAGGAAAACCCCCAAAAAAAAGGGGGGGAAAAAAAAAAAAACCCCCCCCCCCCCCCCCCCCCCCCAAAAAAAAAAAGGGGCCCCCCCTTTCCCCCAAAAAATGGGGGTTTTCCCCCCGGGAAAAGGGGGGGAAAAAAACCCCCGGGGGGGGGGAAAAAAAAAAAAAAAGGGGGGGGGGGGGAAAAAAAAAAAAAGGGGGGTTTTTTAAAAAAAACCAAAAAAAAAAAAAACCAAAAAAACAAAAAAAACCCCCAAACGGGGGGGAAAAAAACCTTTTTAAAAAAAAAATTTTTTAAAAAAAATTTAAAACCCCAAAAAAAAAAAAAATTTTTTTTTTTTGTAAAAAAATTTTTTTTATCCCCTTAAAAAGGGTTTTTTTAAAACTTTTGGGGGTTTTTTTTTTGGGGGTTTTTTGTTTTTTTTTAAAAAAAAAAAGGAAAACTTTAAAAATTTTTTAAAAAAAAATTTTTTCCCTTAAAAGGGGTTTAAAAAAAAGGAAAATTTTTTTTTCCGGGGAAAAAAATAAATTTAAAAAAAATTTTTTTTTTTTTTTAAGAGAGAACACAGCGAGAGAGAGAGAAGATAGAGAGACACAGCCGGAGAGGAGAGTAGAGAGAGAGACACCAGAGAGAGAGGAAAAGAGAGAGAAGACAACAAGGAGATGAGTGAAGAGAGAGAGACACAGCGAGAGAGAGGAAGAGAGAGAGACACAGCGAGAGAGAGGAAGAGAGAGACACAGCGAGAGAGAGAGGAAGTGAGAGAGAGAACGAGGGAAGGAGAGAGAGAGACAGACAAGTCTTTCTCACCCTGAGGATGTCAGTGATATCTATTCCCTTAGGGACGACAGAGGAATAAAGAGAGATGGACTGATAGACAGATGGAGATAGAGAGAAAGAGAGATGGACTGATAGACAGATGGAGATAGAGAGAAAGAGAAAGTAGGGTGTTTCTGACCTGGAAGACATAGTACTAACCTTAAAGCTAGAATCCTTAATTGAAACAATAACAAAGCAGTCTGTTTTGGCAAAAAAGCTGTGGGATGGGCCAGAAGACAGAGCTTTGGATGCAAGGACTGACGATCCATATCATTAAAATTATAGTTTTAACCATGTTTATAAATGTATTTTGTTTTACAAACATTGTAGTAAAACAAGCTTATATTTTGGGTTCTGATGGGGTATGACAGTCAAACTAACCTCATGAGGCATTTATAAGTTATATTCTTCAAGAATCAGTGGGTATATACAGTTGTGTGTATGTATTGGTATTGATACAGTTTAAGTCGTAAGTTTACATCCACCTTAGCCAAATACATTTAAACTCTGTTTTTCACAATTCCTGACATTTAATCCTAGTAAATATTCCCTGTTTTAGGTCAGTTAGGATCACCACTTTATTTTAAGAATGTGAAATGTCAGAATAATAGTAGAGAGAATGATTTATTTCAGCTTTTATTTCTTTCATCACATTCCCAGTGGGTCAGAAGTTTACATACACTCAATTAGTATTTGGTAGCATTGCCTTTAAATGGTTTTAACTTGGGTCAAACGTTTTGAGTAGCCTTCCACAAGCTTCCCACAATAAGTTGGGTGAATTTTGGCCCATTCCTCCTGACAGAGCTGGTGTAAATGAGTCAGGTTTGTAGGCCTCCTTGCTCGCGCACGCTTTTTCAGTTCTGCACACAAATGTTCTATTGGATTGAGGTCAGGGCTTTGTGATGGCCACTCCAATACCTTTACTTTGTTGTCCTTAAGCCATTTTGCCACAACTTTGGAAGTATGCTTGGGGTCATTGTCCATTTGGAAGACCCATTTGCGACCAAGCTTTAACTTCCTGACTGATGTCTTGAGATGTCGCTTCAATATATCCACATAATTTTCCTTCCTCATGATGCCATCTATTTTATGAAGTGCAACAGTCCCTCCTGCAGCAAAGCACCCCCACAGCATGATGCTGCCACCCCCGTGCTTCACGGTTGGGATGGTGTTGTTCAGCTTGCAAGCAAACCCCTTTTTCTTCCAAACATAACGATGGTCATTATGGTCAAACAGTTCTATTTTTATCATCAAACCAGAGGACATTTCTCCAAAAAGTAAGATATTTGTCCCCATGTGCAGTTGCAAACCGTAGTCTGTCTTTTTAATGGGGGTTTTGGAGCAGTGGCTTCTTCCTTGCTGAGCGGCCTTTCAGGTTATGTCGATATAGGACTCGTTTTACTGTGGATATAGATACTTTTGTACCCGTTTCCTCCAGCATCTTCACAAGGTCCTTTGCTGTAGTTCTGGGATTGATTTGCACTTTTCGCACCAAAGTACGTTCATCTCTAGGAGACAGAACGCGTCTCCTTCCTGAGCGGTATGACGGCTGCGTGGTCCCATGGTGTTTATCCTTGCATACTATTGTTTGTACAGATGAACGTGGTACCTTCACGCGTTTGGAAATTGCTCCCAAGGATGAACCAGACTTGTGGAGGTCTACAATTTCTTTTCTGAGGTCTTGGCTGATTTCTTTTGATTTTCCCATGATGTCAAGCAAAGAGGCACTGAGTTTGAAGGTAGGCCTTGAAATACATCCACAGGTACACCTCCAATTGACTCAAATGATGTCAATTAACCTATCAGAAGCTTCTAAAGCCATGACATCATTTTCTGTATGTAAACTTCTGACCCACTGGAATTGTGATACAGTGAATTATAAATTAAATAATCTGTCTGTAAACAATTGTTGGAAAAATTACTTGTGTCATGCACAAAGTAGATGTCCTAACCGATTTGCCAAAACTATAGTTTGTTAACAAGAAATTTGTGGAGTGGTTGAAAAACAAGTTTTAATGACTCCAACCTAAGTGTATGTAAACTTCTGACTTCAACTGTACAGTGAGGGAAAAAAGTATTTGATCCCCTGCTGATTTTGTACATTTGCCCACTGACAAAGAGATGCTCAGTCTATAATTTTAATGGTAGGTTTATTTGAACAGTGAGAGACAGAATAACAACAAAAAAATCCAGAAAAACGCATGTCAAATATGTTATAAATTGATTTGCATTTTAATGAGGGAAATAAGTATTTGACCCCTTTGCCAAACATGACTTAGTACTTGGTGGCAAAACCCTTGTTGGCAATCACAGAGGTCAGACGTTTCTTGTAGTTGGCCACCAGGTTTGCACACATCTCAGGATGGATTTTGTCCCACTCCTCTTTGCAGATCTTCTCCAAGTCATTAAGGTTTCGAGGCTGACGATTGGCAACTCGAACCTTCAGCTCCCTCCACAGATTTTCTATGGGATTAAGGTCTGGAGACTGGCTAGGCCACTCCAGGACCTTAATGTGCTTCTTCTTGAGCCACTCCTTTGTTGCCTTGGCCGTGTGTTTTGGGTCATTGTCATACTGGAATACCCATACACAACCCATTTTCAATGCCCTGGCTGAGGGAAAGTACATGGCCCCGTCCATCGTCCTTTTGATGCGGTGAAGTTGTCCTGTCCCCTTCGCAGAAAAACACCCCCAAAGCATAATGTTTCCACCTCCATGTTTGACGGTGGGGATGGTGTTCTTGGGGTCATAGGCAGCATTCCTCCTCCTCCAAACACGGCGAGTTGAGTTGATGCCAAAGAGCTCGATTTTGGTCTCATCTGACCACAACACTTTCACCCAGTTCTCCTCTGAATCATTCAGATGTTCATTTGCAAACTTCAGACGGGCCTGTATATGTGCTTTCTTGAGCAGGGGGACCATGCGGGCGCTGCAGGATTTCAGTCCTTCACGGCGTAGTGTGTTACCAATTGTTTTCTTGGTGACTATGGTCCCAGCTGCCTTGAGATCATTGACAAGATCCTCCTGTGTAGTTCTGGGCTGATTCCTCACTGTTCTCATGATCATTGCAACTCCACGAGGTGAGATCTTGCATGGAGCCCCAGGCCGAGGGAGATTGACAGTTATTTTGTGTTTCTTCCATTTGCGAATAATCGCACCAACTGTTGTCACCTTCTCACCAAGCTGCTTGGCGATGGTCTTGTAGCCCATTCCAGCCTTGTGTAGGTCTACAATCTTGTCCCTGACATCCTTGGGGAGCTCTTTGGTCTTGGCCATGGTGGAGAGTTTGGAATCTGATTGATTGATTGCTTCTGTGGACAGGTGTCTTTTATACAGGTAACAAAATGAGATTAGGAGCACTCCCTTTAAGAGTGTGCTCCTAATCTCAGCTCGTTACCTGTATAAAAGACACCTGGGAGCCAGAAATCTTTCTGATTGAGAGGTGGTCAAATACTTATTTCCCTCATTAAAATGCAAATCAATTTATAACATTTTTGACATGCGCTTTTCTGGATTTTTTTGTTGTTATTCTGTCTCTCACTGTTCAAATAAACCTACCATTAAAATTATAGACTGATCATTTCTTTGTCAGTGGGCAAACGTACAAAATCAGCAGGGGATCAAATACTTTTTTCCCTCACTGTATATCATTCATTTAGAAGTTATATTCTTCAACAACAATGGGTATATATCATTCATTTAGAAGTTATATTCTTCAACCATCAGTGGGTATATATCATTCATTTATAGAGCTGACTGATATGTTTTTTTGTTGTCCGATAACGATTTTTTAGGGACAACACTTACCGATACCAACATTATAGTATTAAAAATACTATTTTTTCCCGCAGTTTTCTCATACATTTCCATCCAAAATGGCAATTGTCCAAGAAATATGCTTCAAATGTTGATTTCTTATATTGTGAAATTAATGAAATCATGAGAATGTGTTCAGATAAGCATGAGATTCCCTTTTTTCATCCTATTTATTGAATATCGGTTATCGGTGGAATTATCAGGTAATAACGATATAGGCTAGTGCTAAAAGTCCCAACATGAATGTAAAACTAAGGATTCTAACCTTAAAGAAGCCGATGATGCCCACTCCGTATTCCACACAGTACTAACCTTAAAGAAGCCGATGATGCCCACTCCGTATTCCACACAGTACTAACCTTAAAGAAGCCGATGATGCCCACTCTGTATTCCACACAGTACTAACCTTAAAGAAGCCGATGATGCCCACTCCGTATTCCACACAGTACTATCCTTAAAGAAGCCGATGATGCCCACTCCGTATTCCACACAGTACTAACCTTAAAGAAGCCGATGATGCCCACTCCGTATTCCACACAGTACTAACCTTAAAGAAGCCGATGATGCCCACTCCGTATTCCACACAGTACTAACCTTAAAGAAGCCGATGATGCCCACTCCGTATTCCACACAGTACTTGTCCAGCAGCTCTCTGTTCCAGGCGTCCAGGTTGACGTACTTCAGGATGTTCTCGTAGATGACCAGTGTGAAGCGCCCGTGCTCCTTATCCGTTAACGTGGGCATGTCCCCTTTACCGGGAGAGATCTCCATCCGGTACCGGAAACGTCCCGACTCCAGGATGGCCACGATATCCTGGCCAAGTTGAGAGTACTGACTCTCTACAAACACCAGCACCACAGGGTCTGTCCTCCCCCCTCCTTCGCCCCCGGGTCCCCCAGACACCGCCCGCACTGGGAGCAGCCGCGAAGGGCTCACCCGGAGGTCATCATAGATGGCCGACACTCCCTCGCCACCAGCCACGCCCCCTCCTGAGTGCTCGAGCTCCTGTTTCGCGCCGTAAAGGAAGTAGGCGGAGACGAAGACGCTGACGGTGCAGAAAAGGAAGAGGAGGAGCAGGGAGGTCTGGAGGGGGAGGTGGCGGACAAGACGGACCAGCCGACGCAGGCGGGACACGCATCCCAGCATCGTCACGCACAATGCCTGACCCGAATGAACCACTGACCGAAACTACTAAGAAAACAGTCTCTGTAGGGCTTGTTGGTAGGGTGGGGTAGGCTTGGGTAGAGTAGGGTAGGCTTGGGTAGGCTAGGGTAGGCTAGGGTAGGCTAGGGTAGGCTAGGTTAAGGTAGGGTAGGGAAGGGTAGGTTAGGGTAGGGTAGGGTAGGTAGGCTAGGTTAGGGTAGGGTAGGGTACGGTAGGGTAGGGTAGGCTAGGTTAGGGTAGGGTAGGGTAGGCTAGGGTAGGGTAGGCTAGGGTAGGCTAAGCATAAATAAATCAGTCCAAAGTCAGTCTTGTTAATTCCAGTCTTCTGGTTATTAATCCACAGGCTATAGAAGCAGCAGCAACAGCTACTGGAGATAGAAATGAGATGGTTTCATTGGCTCTCCCACGCACTGTGTTGCTGATTATGTCACCATGGCAGAGATGTGGGCGGTCTCCGACCTGGGGAGGGGGGAGGGGGGGGGGGGGGGGGGGGGGGGGGGGGGCACACCGCACGCCAGGGAGGGAGGGGGGAAGGAGAGGGGGAATCAGAGCAGGAGAGGGCAGCTAGAGGGCTGGCTGGTCACCTGTCCATCACTGGAACCAGCCAACCACATCCCTCAGGGTTCCTGATTGGTGGTTGATCTTTCCGGGGGCAGGCAAAGGTGAGGTCACAAAGGTCATCCCAATAGCTACATTCTCCTGGATGGTTTCTGGTTATGACCTAGAATGAAACGCAAGAAAGAAATATAAAAAAATCGAACAAGAGCACAAAGAACATTTCCTTTTCATAACTCACACACTAATGCCATATTTGTTGTTTGTTTATGTGTGTGGGAGAGGTGTAGGATACAGTGCCGGTGCTCCTCTGAAAGTTCATTTTAAAAGCAGTCCTTGCATTCACCTACGCATGCTATCAGAGCTGCCAAAAAACCCTACACACACCCCACCCAACCCCAGCCCTCACACACACTATTGATCGACGGAGAGAGAGCGAGAGAGAGAGGCCTGGAGGCGAGCTGCTGAGCCAGTCTGTTTAGGCAGGACTCTGTGACTGCATGTAAAGTGAAGCCATGGCCCTTGGGGAAACTCACCTCCTATTCCCCTCAAACACACAGAGGATCAGAGGGGAGAGAAACAAGCAGCCAAGCCACAATCCAAAAGCAATGCAGCCAGCAGATAGTGACAGACAGAAACCAATGGGAACTTCTCTCTCTGAATAGCACACCATCCTATCACACTGCATCTACGTTGGATGTGCAAGCTAATTAACCCAATCAAATTACACCAGTGTCTTATTGGCTGTTCTTGACCATGCTCTGATCTCTGAGGATACAGTCCAAGTTTCAAACATATTCACATAAAAAAAGTGAAAAAGCAAAATAATCACCTACATAAAACCATTCTCATTTCTCATTGTATTTTTTTATTTCTCCTTTATTTAACCAGGTAAGCCAGTTGAGAACAAGTTCTCATTTACAACTGCGACCTGGCCAAGATAAAGCAAAGCAGTGCAATAAAAACAACAACACCGAGTTACATATGGGGTAAACAAAACATAAAGTCAAAAATACAACAGAAAATATATATACAGTGTGTGCGAATGTAGTAAGTTATGGAGGTAAGGCAATAAAAAATTGTTACAATTTCGTAATTAACACTGGAATGATAGATGTGCAAAAGATGATGTGCAAATAGAGATACTGGGGTGCAAATTAGCAAAATAAATAACAATATGGCGATGAGGTAGTTGGGTGGGCTAATTTCAGAATGGCTGTGTACAGGTGCAGTGATCGGTAAGCTGCTCTGACAACTGATGCTTAAAGTTAGTGAGGGAGATAAGAGTCTCCAGCTTCAGATATTTTTGCAGTTCGTTCCAGTCATTGGCAGCAGAGAACTGGAAGGAATGGCGGCCAAAGGAGGTGTTGTCTTTGGGGATGACCAGTAAGATATACCTGCTGGAGCGCAGACTACGGGTGGGTGTTGCTATGGTGACCAGTGAGCTAAGATAAGACAGGGATTTGCCTAGCAGTGATTTATAGATGACCTGGAGCAAGTGGGTTTGGCGACGACGCAAGCAGCGTTCGGTTGAAGAGCATACATTTAGTTTTACTAGTGTTTTAGAGCAGTTGGAGGCCATGGAAGGAGTGTTGTATGGCGTTGAAGCTCGTTTAGAGGTTTGTTAACACAGTGTCCAATGAAGGGCAAGATGTATACAAAATGGTGTCGTCCGCATAGAGGTGGATCCGAGCATCACCAGCAGCAAGAACGACATCATTGATATACACAGAGAATAGAGTCGGCCCGAGAATTGAACCCTGTGGCACCCCCATAGAGACAGCCAGAGGTCCAGACAACAGGCCCTCCGATTTGACACATTGAACTCTATCTGAGAAGTAGTTGGTGAACCAGGCGAGGCAGTCATTTGAGAAACCAAGGCTATTTAGTCTGCCAATAAGAATGCGGTGGTTGACAGAGTCGAAAGCCTTGGCCAGGTCGATGAAGATGGCCGCGCAGTACTGTCTTATATCGATTGCGGTTATAATATCGTTTAGGACCTTGAGCGTGGCTGAGGTGCACCCATGAGCAGCTCGGAAACCGGATTGAATGGCGGAGAAGGTACGGTGGGATTCGAAATGGTCGGTGATCTGTTTGTTAACTTGGCTTTCAAATACTTTCGAAAGGCAGGGCATGATGGATATAGGTCTGTAACAGTTTGGATCTAGAGTGTCACCCTCTTTGAAGAGGGGGATGACTGCGGCAGCTTTCCAATCTCTGGGGATCTCAGACGTTACGAAAGAGAGGTTGAACAGGCTAGTAATAGGGGTTGCGACAATTTCAGTGGCTAATTTTAGAAAGAAAGGGTCCAGATTGTCTAGCCCAGTTGATTTGTAGGGGTCCAGATTTTTCAGCTCTTTCAGAACATCAGCTGTCTGAATTTGTGTGAAGGAGAAGCAGGGGGGGGGGGGGGGGGGGGGGCATGGGCAAGTTGCAGCGGAGGGTGCAGAGCTGGTGGCCGGGTGGTAGTGGTAGCCAGGTGGAAAGCATGGCCTGCCATGGCAAAATGCTTGTTGAAATTCTCGATTATTGTAGATTTATCGGTGGTGACAGTGTTTCCTAGCCTCAGTGCAGTGGGCAGTTGGGAGGAGGTGCTCTTATTTTCCATGGACTTTACAGTGTCCCAAAACTTTTTGGAGTTAGTGCTACAGGATGCACATTTCTGTTTGAAAAAGCTAGCCTTTGCTTTCCTAACTGATTGTGTATATTGGTTCCTGACTTCCCTAAAAAGTTGCATATCGCGGGGGCTGTTCGATGCTAATGCAGTACGCCACAGGATGTTTTTGTGCTGGTCAAGGGCAGTCAAGTCTGGGGTGAACTAGGGGCTATATCTGTTCTTAGTTCTGAATTTTTTGAATGGGGCATGCTTATTTAAGATTGAGAGGAAAGCATTTTTAAAGAACAACCAGGCACCCTCTACTGACGGAATGAGGTCAATATCCATCCAGGATACCCGGACCAGGTCAATTAGAAAAGCCTGTTCGCTAAAGTGTTTTAGGGAGCGTTTGACAGTGATGAGGGGTGGTCGTTTGACCGCGGACCCATTACGGACGCAGGCAATAAGGCAGTGATCGCTGAGATCCTGGTTGAAGACAGCGGAGGTGTATTTAGAGAGAAATAACTACTTGAGAAGTGTATTATTGACCACTGACTGCTGTACTCAGAGTACTGAGGTAGAGCTGGGACGATAAACCGGAAGTTATCGACACTGACCATACCGAACACTTATCGCAGGCATTTTGCTGATATCGTTCATAACGCAATCCAAAGGTGTTAAACGGAGAGCATTATCAAAGGTTTGTTACAGTACACCACCAAGCCTGACACAATACATAAGTAGATATCTGATATCTTACACGGAATGCATTTAATGAGTTATTGATTTCTGATTAGAGTAGCTTGATGGGGGGAAACATCTGATATCATTCCATGGTTCCATATAGAAGTCCTCATGGTATTCCATGAAGGAAAGCTCAACATCATTCCATATAGCATTCCTTGAGGAATACCATGGAGAAAAGCCTAAAATCTCTCCATACAAAACAATCAACTGTGTGAGAACTAGGCTATACATTCTCTGGTATTCCTGCTTCAGTCACAATCTCCCTCCTGAGTCGTGCTGCTGCTGTGGAGGATATCACACTTCCACTGAGCTGCCTCCAAATTTCCCTTCAGAGGACCAGAGTTTTTAAACGTAAAAAGAGGCCGTGAAAAAGAGGTGGGTGTGGAGAGAAAGTATCGCTCTAGAGCAGACAGAAACACACAGCCCTGCTATGCTGAAGACTGCCATTCCTTCTGTCAGGAGCCAGGTCCGTGCCACGGCATATCAAAACAAGATTAGCCACTACGGCACAGCGCGGAGGCCGCTGAAGAGCAAAGCAGAGGACGAGTCACTCAGAGAGAATAGTACGGTTTTCTCAGGTGGGTGGTGGTTACGCTGCTTTAATAGAAGGTTCCAAATATTACTCAACCACAGATGTGGCTTTGAGAAGCCAAATCCTACCATTTTAGAAAATATTTTTGGTAATTAATCACACTAATGATAAAATGTTATCTAAAGCCAAAGGTCTGAGGAGAAACAAAGGCTGCCGTGACATTGATGCCATTGGTGGTGACAGAGGTTAGCAGGTGCAGGTTAACAGCAGTTCAAGACAAACAGAGCAGAGAGAAGAGATATATCTATCTATATATCTATCTATCTACAGTAGGTGTTGGACATCTACATAAGGTCTTGGCCAACTCTCAGCAGTGATGACTGCCCACCAAAGTTGACCTTCAGCCTGGGCCACAAAGAACTACAATTAGATCAGAGAGAGGGATGGGGGAGGGAGAGAGAGAGAGAGAGAGAGAGAGAGATATAGAGAGAGAGAGAGAGAGAGAGGGATAGAGAGGGAGAGAGAGAGAGAGAGAGATATAGAGAGAGAGAGAGAGAGAGAGAGAGCATTAGACTGTAATGTAGGCTAGTGGGAATAGATATGTAGCTAGGTACACCAGAGCTGCATTTACACTGAGTGGAAGAACACAGGCTAATGGCTGTTCTAACCCTCTCCATCTCCACTAACAGCATCTTCTACTCCTCTCTATACATTCAACGGAGACCCTTCCCCCCCATTCCAAAATAATACAATAAATGTAAACCTGATGGGATGTGGGGGCAATGTATCAGCAAGGTTGTAGAGAGGTAGAGAGCAGCGGAGAGGTAGAGAGCAGGGGAGAGGTAGAGAGCAGGGGAGAGGTAGAGAGCATTTACGTTTAAACTGCAATTTTTCTCATTTAAACGTTTAAAGCAAATCAAATGACGTGAATTCCAAATTCAGATATGGTCACGTATGACCGCTAGGGGGCAATGCAGTTCAATCTACCACAGTCCTGGCTACCTGCTAGACAGCGCTCACCTTACTGTGGTCCTCCAACCACTCAGCAACCATGGTATTAATGCCGTTTTATGTTCTCTGTTGTGTGCCTCTCCTCCATGTTCTCAGTTGTCAGTACATGGGACTTCATGTCCCATTTTCATCAGTGTGATGGTTTGTTGCAGTGATGTATGACAGCATGTTCATAGATGTCCAAAAATGGTTGTTAATGCCACGTACAGTGGCTTGCGAAAGTATTCACCCCCCTTGGCATTTTTCCTACTTTGTTTCCTTACAACTTGGAATTAAAATATATTTTTTGGGGGGTTTTGTATCATTTGATTTACACAACATGCCAACCACTTTGAAGATGCAAAATAAAGAATTTTTGTAAAACAAACAAGAAATAAGACAAAAAAACAGAAACCTTGAGCGTGTATAACTATTCATCACCCCAAAGTCAATACTTTGTAGAGCCACATTTCGCAGCAATTACAGCTGCAAGTCTCTTGGGGTATGTCTCTATAAGCTTGGCACATCTAGCCACTGGGATTTCTGCCCATTCTTCAAGGCAAAACTGCCCCAGCTCCTTCAAGTTGGATGGGTTCCGCTGGTGTACAGCAATTTTTAAGATTCTCAATTGGATTGAGGTCTGGGCTTTGACTAGGCCATTCCAAGATATTTAAATGTTTCCCCTTAAACCACTCGAGTGTTGCTTTAGCAGTATGATTAGGGTAATTGTCCTGCTGGAAGGTGAACCTCCGTCCCAGTCTCAAATCTCTGGAAGACTGAAACAGGTTTCCCTCAAGAATTTCCCTGTATTTAGCGCCATCCATCATTCCTTCAATTCTGACCAGTTTCCAAGTCCCTGCCGATGAAAAACATCCCCACAGCATGGTGGTGGCAGCATCATGCTGTGGGGATGTTTTTCATCGGCATGGTGTTCTCGGGGTGATGAGAGGTGTTGGGTTTGTGCCAGACATAGCGTTTTCCTTGATGGCCAAAAAGCTCAATTTTAGTCTCATCTGACCAGAGTACCTTCTTCCATATGTTTGGGGAGTCTCCCACATGCCTTTTGGCGATAGCTTTTTTTCTTTAAGCAATGGCTTTTTTCTGGCAACTCTTCCGTAAAGCCCAGCTCTGTGGAGTGTATGGCTTAAAGTGGTCCTATGGACAGATACTCCAATCTCTGCTGTGGAGCTTTGCAGCTGCTTCAGGGTTATCTTTGGTCTCTTTGTTGCCTCTCTGATTAATGCCCTCCTTGCCTGTTCCGTGAGTTTTGGTGGGCGGCCCTCTCTTGGCAGGTTTGTTGTGGTGCCATATTCTTTAAATTTTTTAATAATGGATTTATTGGTGCACGTGGGATGTTCAAAGTTTCTGATATTTTTTTATAACCCAACCGTGATCTGTACTTCTCCACAACCTTGTCCCTGACCTGTTTGGAAAGCTCCTTGGTCTTCATGTTGCTGCTTGCTTGGTGGTGCCCCTTGCTTAGTGGTTTTGCAGACTCTGGGGCCTTTCAGAACAGGTGTATATATATACTGAGATCATGTGACAGATCATGTGACACTTAAATTGCACAAGTGGACTTTATTTAACTAATTATGTGACTTCTGAAGGTAATTGGTTGCACCAGATCTTATTTAGGGGCTTCATACATATGCATGCACCACTTTTCCATTATTTATTTTTTAGAATTTTTTGAAACAAGTAATTTTTTTCATTCCACTTCACCAATTTGGACGATTTTGTGTATGTCCATTAATAATAATAATAATAATAATAATAATAATAATAATAATAATAATAATAATAATATGCCATTTAGCAGACGCTTTTATCCAAAGCGACTTACAGTCATGCGTGCATACATTTTTGTGTATGGGTGGTCCCGGGGATCGAACCCACTACCTTGGCGTTACAAGCGCCGTGCTCTACCAGTTGAGCTACAGAGGACCACAACATGCCAAGGTATTATTTCATTACATGAAATCCAAATAAAAATCAATTTAAATTACAGGTTGTAATGCAACAAAATAGGAAAAACGCCAAGGGGGTGAATACTTTTGCAAGGCACTGTATGTTGTTTGAGAGCTCGCACTTTGTACTTGCAGAGCAATCATTATACAATTTCTCTATCAGAGTCATCCCGGTTTTTCAACATGGCATCTTGTAGCCTGGTTCTAGCTATGCCATCAGGGCAGTGAAGCCGACATCCTCTACCACATACAATGGCTGCATATAAACTGCAATCATTTCATCCCTTATTGCACTGCTGCCAGAAACGGGTATGGTTTCACGGTGCCTCTCTTTCAGCACCTGTACTGCTCATTTCCACCTCGCAAAGTTTGAATTTCATCACCTTCTCATTTAACTTCTCAAAGTATTGCCATACAGGACTTCACTGCTATCTCGTCCCTGTCATTTTCCAACTGTTAACGACGATGACGTGCAGAGCGCTTTGTATCCGTGGCAAATCATTGTAGATACATATCTCCTCCTTACAGCATTGTTGCATTAGTTATTTGTTAAAAACAGTTTTTGGCCTTCATGATGATCATCGGGACCTGTTAGTGGTAGTTTTGTGATAACTGCACTGTGATTTTAATGTAAAAATAAATAAATACAAAATAAAAAGTCTGTCTCTCTCTCCCCATCCATCCATCCATCCATCCCAGTCTGAACAGAGGATGAATCAGTCCCTCCTCTCCTTATTCATGCATATAGAGGACAGGTAGAGAGGTAGACAGACTGAGACTAACGTGTATTTGATATCAAACCTTTTCAAGGTCTCTGACAGGAAGAGCTCAAAGTGAATTAGAGGGCTTTAATTGCCTCTGTGGATGGAGGGAGTTACTAAATGAGGGAACAGACACAGACAGGGGAGCGAGAGAGAGAGAGAGAGAGAGAGAGAGAGACACAGTGAGAGAGAGAGAGAGAGAGAGAGAGCAAAATAAGTGGGAAAGGAAGAGGGAGATATAAAGAGAGGGAGATAAAGAAGGAGAAAAGAGAGAGTGAGACAAGAGAGACAGAGCGAGAGAAACGTGAAGCAATCAATCTCAAATTTACGAAGTGTTCAAAACAACAATGAACATATTTTCCCCATTATTAGCTTGGGATTAATGGCAGGGACAGAATAAAGTGGGTGTATGTATATAAACAATAGCACGTGACAGACAAGGCTGGAGGCTGAGTACTGTAGTGTTTAGCCTCTAGGTGGGTGGTCAGTCAAACCCAACAAACCTACAGCATTACAGCACTACCATTCTACTGGGCACCAGGCCAGAACCACAACTTCACTGCTGCTGGATTAATGAAGGGAGAGAAGGAGAGAGATGGGGGGGTAACAGAATGTGGGAGGCCTGGTCTGGGTCTCAGCTGTAACAACTCCATGGATAAACATCACTAAGGTCGGCCATATGCACTCTCTCCACTCTCTCCACTCTCTCTCTGTGGTAAAATGTCAGTGAGCGTTCCAGTGCTGCTGAGGCCAGTGCAGTACATTAGCAGTAACAGTGTTGGGTGAACTAGCCAGAGGTGTCCCTTTTTGACAAATAAATTGTATTGGGAGGAAGGTGATCCTCTCCTCTCAGCCCCTCCATGCCCCCTACCTCCCCCTCCTTATCCCCCCTGACAGAAATAAATTATGACCCTCAGTGTTCCTTTTACAAGTACCTTGGCAACCGCACACACTCCACGGTAACGCCACAGAGTTACGGCGGCGTTCTCCTTCTGTGGCGACAGCATGGTAACTCCGTTCTGGAGGGAATGAGGGTGTGTGTTATGCCAATGGGACTAATGGGGGCTTTGAGATCAGATGGAGATTCTTGTTGTTGTCGTTTCTTACAGTATAAACTACTGGATCATGACAAAGGGATCACCTAGAAGAGGCACTGCTTAAACAATACAAGTTATTTTTGCCCAAAACACACACACACACACACACACACACACACACAGCAGCACCGCGCCAAACCCACTGCCATGTCAAACAGCACAGCAACATACTGGTCCAGCAGAAACTTTATTAGCCCAGAATGCTAACAGGCTAACAGCAGTACTGTGTGTCCATCCAGCTGAACAGGTCAGTGCCAAGGTCAGAGCGGTTTAATCCCTAATCTGCTATCCATTCATCTGGACACTGATGACATTAGGACAGCAGCAAATGTGTTAATGGATGGCACTGGCTCACTACAGACTCCTTCCATGAAGGCTATCAATTTCTACTTGTGTAGCGATTTAGGGGGGGAACAGCTGGAGCAGGATTTGAACCAGCGACTGCAGTTACAGGGTGAGCACAGTACCACTTGCGCCATTCAAGTACAGACATCTTCACAGAGGCTATAGTATATACAGTGGGGGAAAAAAAGTATTTAGTCAGCCACCAATGGTGCAAGTTCTCCCACTTAAAAAGATGAGAGAGGCCTGTAATTTTCACCATAGGTACACGTCAACTATGACAGACAAATTGAGAAAACAAAATCCAGAAAATCACATTGTAGGATTTGTAATTAATTTATTTGCAAATTATGGTGGAAAATAAGTATTTGGCCACCTACAAACAAGCAAGATTTCTGGCTCTCACAGACCTGTAACTTTTTCTTTAAGAGGCTCCTCTGTCCTCCACTCGTTACCTGTATTAATGGCACCTGTTTGAACTTGTTATCAGTATAAAAGACACCTGTCCACAACCTCAAACAGTCACACTCCAAACTCCACTATGGCCAAGACCAAAGAGCTATCAAAGGACACCAGAAACAAAATTGTAGACCTGCACCAGGCTGGGAAGACTGAATCTGCAATAGGTAAGCAGCTTGGTTTGAAGAAATCAACTGTGGGAGCAAATATTAGGAAATGGAAGACATACAAGACCACTGATAATCTCCCTCGATCTGGGGCTCCACGCAAGATCTCACCCCGTGGGGTCAAAATGATCACAAGCAAAGATCCCAGAACCACACGGGGGGACCTAGTGAATGACCTGCAGAGAGCTGGGACCAAAGTAACAAAGCCTATCATCAGTAACACACTACGCCGCCAGGGACTCAAATCCTGCAGTGCCAGACGTGTCCCCCTGCTTAAGCCAGTACATGTCCAGGCCCGTCTGAAGATTGCTAGAGTGCATTTGGATGATCCAGAAGAGGATTGGGAGAATGTCATATGGTCAGGTGAAACCAAAATAGAACTTTTTGGTAAAAACTCAACTCGTCGTGTTTGGAGGACAAAGAATGCTGAGTTGCATCCAAAGAACACCATACCTACTGTGAAGCATGGGGGTGGAAACATCATGCTTTGGGGCTGTTTTTCTGCAAAGGGACCAGGATGACTGATCCGTGTAAAGGAAAGAATGAATGGGGCCATGTATCGTGAGATTTTGAGTGAAAACCTCCTTCCATCAGTAAGGGCATTGAAGATGAAACGTGGCTGGGTCTTTCAGCATGACAATGATCCCAAACACACCGCCCGGGCAACGAAGGAGTGGCTTCGTAAGAAGCATTTCAAGGTCCTGGAGTGGCTTAGCCAGTCTCCAGATCTCAACCCCATAGAAAATCTTTGGAGGGAGTTGAAAGTCCGTGTTGCCCAGCGACAGCCCCAAAACATCACTGCTCTAGAGGAGATCTGCATGGAGGAATGGGCCAAAATACCAGCAACAGTGTGTGAAAACCTTGTGAAGACTTACAGAAAACGTTTGACCTGTGTCATTGCCAACAAAGGGTATATAACAAAGTATTGAGTAACTTTTGTTATTGACCAAATACTTGTTTTGAACCATAATTTGCAAATAAATTCATTAAAAACCCTACAATGTGATTTTTTGGAAAAAAAATTCTAATTTTGTCTGTCATAGTTGACGTGTACCTATGATGAAAATTACAGGCCTCTCTCATCTTTTTAAGTGGGAGATCTTGCACAATTGGTGGCTGACTAAATACTTTTTTCCCCCACTGTACATATAGGGAGGCTACACTGCTTCTGACCACTGATGATAGCCTTTCAAATTCTACAGCAGTCAGATGTTGCTGTCAAGAAGAAAGTAGTGGTACTTCTTACAGCTGAACTATATCTCACAATTTGCATTCATCCTGTCCTTTCTATCCTGTTGGAGATTAGGGACTTCAAAAGAAAGTGATAATTCCCCTTTGCTGTGTGGTGCCTAAAGCTAAACACAACATGCACACATGGAAATGCAAACAAACTCATTTTCTTAGACAGGTTGTATTTCAAAGCCAGCAACAGCTCCATCCGTCTGGCCTAAGCCCCCCCCTTGCTATCCATCAATACAGGATCAATAGATCTGAAATTCTAATTCCATTTCATGCATCCTTGTGGCTTCCGCGATTAAAAGCTTAGGCTGTGAAAAAAGTGTGAAGAATTTACTGTGACAGTTTTTCTCTCTCCTGCTCCTCCTCTCCCTCAGACCATCTGAATGTACAGAGCAGGCGGCGTCTCATTTAGCGGCACGGCAAACCTTTACACTGACTTCTCTCTTTCTCACCGATTAATTTCACGCCTGTGAAGGACGGAGGAGTCAAAGCCGGAAAGTTTTGTTTCGTTCTAATTATCAGGGAAAGTGACTTTCAGACTGACCTCCTCTTCCTACAAACCAAACCGCCACTGAATTATCACAGAATGTTGCAGCGCCTCAATTTCTTTCCCCAAGACTGAGGCAATTTCACCAAGGAAGATAACTACAACGTTTTTCCTCAAATGGTCCATCCCTCCAATTACGACTCCGGGACCCCGGTTCTGCAGACCCGAGTCCTGGCCCTGTGGTAATTGAAATGATTGCGTTGTTATTCAGCAACGTGGTAATGGGACAGAGTGCTTGGGCTGATCTGGAAGTTCACTCTCGGAGCCCAGAGCACACACCATCCCTAAGAGCAATTATGAGTAAGAAGACAGTGAAAGGGTATGTTCTAGGAAAGAAATGAGACGATTGAGGCTATTTCTGTAGACTACCTGCATATTCAGTGGTGGACAAAGCCCGTTTCTAGCTCATCTGATGTGATTGTATCTGATGGTATCTGGCCCAGAGATCTCCAGCTTGAAGCTAACTGCAGCAGGCACAGTATAATAGCATGATTATACATTCAGAATGTGGAGAGCTGATTAGGGCTGAGATGAATAAAAACATGGGGGGAGAGAGAAGATTAAATATGTATGGGTCTTCTCCACTCAGATGGCCTGAAAAACCAGCTTCTCCACATTATGAATGTGGGATCTCCAATACAGCTGTGCCTCACTGCAGCTACGGAGGATCTGAGGGGATCGGGAACATGTGAAATGGATTACTATGCTCTGGGAAAAGCAGACGGCATTTTATTCCCACACAGTACTGGAGAAAAACATAAATGAACAGCTTTAACTCTACCAACAATCACACCCCCACTGGTATAAGACAGATCACCACCCCAGCCCAGTCAGACTCAACGGCTACATATAGACATGTACATTCACTATTTCAGACATGAAGACTCAATGTATAATACAATGGTCCACTTGCCATTAGGAAACAGGCAACCTTGTGAATGCTCAGAGCTAGTTCAATAACAGAATAGATCAAAGGTTAAATTGCCTGCTACAGGACAGAGAGATAAGAATAGCACTAACAGTAAGACGAGAATCCATTTAGAGGGTCAGTGAAACCACTTAAAGAGCACAACATCTGATGAAGGGACCAAATGTGGTTTGAGCTTCTTCTTCTTCTTTATGGCCAATCTCACCCTCTGCTCCAACGAATTTCAAATTCATTTGAGTCAGAAATTGAGTTATGATTAAGCAATCAAGGGGAAAGGATAATTTACCGCACTCGGAATGATTTCCCATATTCCCATCCATTTTCTCGGTTAGCTCTGAGTGACAGTAGAGGCTATTAGCTAGGGGCCACAGGAGGCTGCATCCTATGGTGTATCCCATATAGATATTCATCCTACTGTGTATCCCATATAGAGATTCATCCTATGGTGTAGCCTGTATAGAGATTCATCCTACTGTGTATCCCATATAGAGATTCATCCTATGGTGTAGCCTGTATAGAGATTCATCCTACTGTGTATCCCATATAGACATTCATCCTATGGTGTAGCCTGTATAGAGATTCATCCTACTGTGTATCCCATATAGAGATTCATCCTACGGTGTATTCTGTATTCAAATCAAATCAAATTGTATTTGTCACATGCGCCGAATACAACAGGTGTAGACCTTACAGTGAAATGCTTACTTACAAGCCCTTAACCAACAATGCAGTTTTAAGAAAAATAAGTGTTAAGTAAAAAATAGACGGTCATAAGGGACGGTGGCAGAAACATTATGTACAAAATAAGTTACAAATAACGCGAAAAAACACACACAAAAGCACAATTGGTTAGGAGCCTGTAAAACGGCAGCCATCTCCTCCAGCGCCATTCTATTCATCCTACAGTGTATCATGTATATAGAGTCGATGTCATGCATATGTATGCCCCGCAGTGCTGGAATAAGACAACCGACAGGTTTATGTGTGGAAATTAAGATGGCCTGGGGCAACGAATAAATATGCACGCACGCACATACACACATGCACGGACAAGTGGAGGTTTACTTGGATTTTCTAAGAAGGGAAATAAGATCGTAGTCCCTGAGACAACCGATGCAACGCACAAGAAGGGGAGTTGGAGCAATGGTGGTCATTTATCATGTTTTGGCAGGTTTAGAGGGAGAGAAGGGGGTGAGGGGTGGCTTTCATATAAATTGAGTGCAGGTGGAATCTATATGGTGGTGGTGTGTTGAGCTGGGAGGAGAGAGAGAGAAAGAGGGAGAGAGTGAGCGAGAGACCCTGGGACCAATGTGAGTGGCAGGAGTGTTTGTTCAGATAGTTTATCCACTGCTACCTCAGGACACAACACTGAAGGAGGACACTTGGGCCAGCAGCAACACAATGAGATTCCATTGGGAGAAAGAGAGAACATTCTTAAGGAGTGACTGAACTCAGGATTCCCCATGTGTTTTTCTGTTGATTTCAGTCTTGGGGCTGTGGTTCGAAGTGGGTGTGTTATCGTATCCTGGCAGTTACTGTTGTTTGTCGCTTTTGAGACACCATAGCAACAACATAGCCAGTAGTACCACTTCCTCAAAATGGTCAGAATTAATCTAAGATAAATCAATAAATCTGTAATAAATTGACATTTTTGTCAAGGTTTTAATTGCGCAATTTTATATCTAGCTAAGATGTTTGGTGCATGTGAATGAAAACTAGTAGTGCTCTGCAGACAATATGGAGTATGCTGCTGTCAGGACTGATTTCTGACAACATTCATCAGCAAGCTGTCAAACTATTGTAGATAAACAAGCTACATGCTACACAAGCTACATGCTGTTAATCGGTGCCCAAAATCACTATCTAGCTATGTTCCATCTGTGTTTATCAATTAAGCTAGCTAGCAGGCACATTGAGCAGGCAAGACACGCTAGCTATATCAGCTTAGCAAGTCATTGGCGAGTGTGAAGTGTGTGCTTCGGTGTCGTTATGTTTTTACAGCTAACCTTTTGCGAAACAGATGATATGGATTTGCTGAGTAAGACCAAGAGATGAATCTCTCCTATGGACTATAGATTATTTAGACCCACGGTAGCGCAACACTAATGTGTACTGACACAATATATAATATAATGTGAACTCATACAGTGGGGAGAACAAGTATTTGATACACTACCGATTTTGCAGGTTTTCCTACTTACAAAGCATGTAGAGGTCTGTAATTTTTATCATAGGTACACTTCAACTGTGAGAGACGGAATCTAAAACAAAAATCCAGAAAATCACATTGTATGATTTTTAAGTAATTAATTTGCATTTTATTGCATGACTTAAGTATTTGATACATCAGAAAAGCAGAACTTAATATTTGGTACAGAAACCTTTGTTTGCAATTACAGAGATCATACGTTTCCTGTAGGTCTTGACCAGGTTTGCACACACTGCAGCAAGGATTTTGGCCCACTCCTCCATACAGACCTTCTCCAGATCCTTCAGGTTTCGGGGCTGTCGCAGGGCAATATGGACTTTCAGCTCCCTCCAAATATTTTCTATTGGGTTCAGGTCTGGAGACTGGCTTGGCCACTCCAGGACCTTGAGATATTTCTTACGGAGCCACTCCTTAGTTGCCCTGGCTGTGTGTTTCGGGTCGTTGTCATGCTGGAAGACCCAGCCACGACCCATCTTCAATGCTCTTACTGAGGGAAGGAGGTTGTTGGCCAAGATCTTGCGATACATGGCCCCATCCATCCTCCCCTCAATACGGTGCAGTCGTCCTGTCCCCTTTGCAGAAAAGCATCCCCAAAGAATGATGTTTCCACCTCCATGCTACACGGTTGGGATGGTGTTCTTGGGGCTGTACTCATCCTTCTTCTTCCTCCAAACACGGCGAGTGGAGTTTAGACCAAAAAGCTCTATTTTTGTTTCATCAGACCACATGACCTTCTCCCATTCCTCCTCTGGATCATCCAGATGGTCATTGGCAAACTTCAGACGGGCCTGGACATGCGCTGGCTTGAGCAGGGGGACCTTGCGTGCGCTGCAGGATTTTAATCCATGACGGCGTAGTGTGTTACTAATGGTTTTCTTTGAGACTGTGGTCCCAGCTCTCTTCAGGTCATTGACCAGGTCCTGCCGTGTAGTTCTGGGCTGATCCCTCACCTTCCTCATGATCATTGATGCCCCACGAGGTGAGATCTTGCATGGAGCCCCAGACCGAGGGTGATTGACCGTCATCTTGAACTTCTTCCATTTTCTAATAATTGCGCCAACAGTTGTTATCTTCTCACCAAGCTGCTTGCCTATTGTCCTGTAGCCCATCCCAGCCTTGTGCAGGTCTACAATTTTATCCCTGATGTCCTTACACAGCTCTCTGGTCTTGGCCATTGTGGAGAGGTTGGAGTCTGTTTGATTGAGTGTGTGGACAGGTGTCTTTTATACAGGTAACGAGTTCAAACAGGTGCAGTTAATACAGGTAATGAGTGGAGAACAGGAGGGCTTCTTAAAGGAAAACTAACAGGTCTGTGAGAGCCGGAATTCTTACTGGTTGGTAGGTGATCAAATACTTATGTCATGCAATAAAATGCTAATTAATTACTTAAAAATCATACAATGTGATTTTCTGGATTTTTGTTTTAGATTCCTTCGCTCACAGTTGAAGTGTACATATGATAAAAATTACAGACCTCTACATGCTTTGTAAGTAGGAAAACCTGCAAAATCGGCAGTGTATCAAATACTTGTTCTCCCCACTGTATGTACTAACCCATATATTAAGGTGAAGCAATAGAAAATACACATGCCAACCTGCCAGAAACAATAGAAATCACATAGGCTGTTTACACAGCCAGCACAATCCTGAGATTTTTTTTCCACTAATTGGTCTTTTGACCACTCAGATCAGCTCTAGAAAATATCTGATGTGATTGGTCAAAAGAGCAATTAGCAGCCATATGGGGTGTGCCACAACAAAAACAAGGCTTCTGAAACACAGGCCCCAGATCAGCACCACAGCCCTCCTCCTGACCTCCTTCTCCAAACTGGCCCAATCAATCTGTGGGTCGAGGGAAAACACTGGCTCTGATGGCTGATCAGACAGTGATATGCAGCAGTACAATGCCTGCTCATGAAATGATGATGAGCTGGATTTAAGAGCCTGCCTGGCTAGGTGTCAGGTACCAGAGCATTATCACCCTTAAGGGAACATGACTCTTCCCTCTCTCCCCCCACACCCCTCTCTCTCACCCCACACCCCTCTCTCTCCCCCCACCCCCCTCTCTCTCCCTCCATCCCCCCTCTCTCTCCTCTAGCTTCCCTCTCTCCCTCTTTCATGTCCAGATAAGACAAAGCAAAGCAGCTGTACAGATGTGCCTGTGATTCCTGCAGCAGAAAGTGGGTTCCCATGGGAATACCGCAGTAAGGAAGAATAGCTGGCATAAGAGAGGGAGAGATGGTGTTATGCTGCGCCTCCTATATTTTGGCTCAGCCAGATCAAACGAATGGGATTTTCCACTAGCTAGTGAGGATGGGGAGGCATTCAGAATCCTCATCAGCGTGCTTTCAGAGTCTAATCAACAACAGCAGATCGGCCTGGCTGGATACAGAATAACAATCTATCTAGACATTAGTCATGGTTTGCAAAAAAACAAACAGAAGACAGAACACTGTGCCCTCATGACGGTGAATGGTCTGATGTTACTCACTACTCTATGGAATACAAACCTACCTAGCCCTGTCATCTGTCTGCCTTTACATCCACAGCCTCAGCCAGCTGTCCTACCTTCCCAGCCCCGGCTCTAGTCACTCTCTGCAGTCTCTGCCCCATCCCCAGCCAACCACCTACACTCTCCCAAACACTCCACCCTCCCAGTCCCCTGCCCTGCTATCCCCCCATGGATGCTCCCAGCCCCAGCAGCAGGTGAGAGATGCAGAGATGTTAGTGAGATGATGGGTCTATCTGGGCTCTGTCTGTTACCCTGCCTCCCTCCATTTCAACCCTTCACTGCTCCTATCGCTCGTCTCGTCTCCTATCCCTCCTCTCGTCGCCTCCTGTCTCCCCTCCCCATGACTCCATCTTGCTTCTCCCCGCCTACAAACAAAGACTCAAGAGGGAAGTTCCGGTGGTCATGGTCAGACCAATCAGAATTCACGCTCCAAGACTGTTTTGATCACGTAGACTGGAATATGTTCCAGGTCACCTCTGAAGATAATGTTGATGAATACACCGACTCAGTCACCGGATTCATCAAAAAATTCATAGATGATGTGATACCGATAGTATCTTTCAAAACGTACCCGAATCAAAAACCGTGGATTGATAGCAGCCTTGTAGGAAAACTGAAAGAGAGAGATGCTGCTTATAAACATGGCAAGGTGACCAGGGACAATAGATGGGTTTAACAGTACAAATATGACTTACGCAGATTGATCAAGATGGCGGAACACAAGTATAGGGAGAAAGTGGAAGAGGAATTCAGCGGGTCGTAACGATCACAGATTACTAAAAGAAAGCCAGCCACATCACGGTCACCAACAACACCCTACCGGAGAAGCTAAACACCTTTTTCTCACGATTCAAGCACAATGACCCTGAGCTGCTAAGGAGAGCCCCCTGATGACAATGTGGGCTACACACTCACAGTCTCCACTGAGGACGTATGGAAGTCATTCAAACGTGTTAACCCTTGCAAGGCTGCCGGCCCAGACGGCATCCTTAGCCGTGCCCTCAGCTGTTGTGTTCTCTGACATTTTCAATCTCTCCCTATCTCAGGCCACTATAACCACCTTCTTCAAGATTTCCACTATCATACCCGTGCCCAAGAAAGGGAAAGTAACTGATCTGAATGACTACCGACCAGTAGCACTCCAGTCATCACAAAGTGCTTCGAGAGGCTAGTCAAAAGACCATATCACCTCCTCCCTCCCGACACACTTGACCCGCTCCAATTCGCCTAACAGATCCACGGACGACGCAATCGCCATTGCACTGCACACTGCCCTTACCCACACCTTCAACGGTATCTTACCTGCAGCTCCCCCTATGGTCATCCCCCCCCACCCCCACCCCCACAACAGTCTTTACTCTACCTCCACCCCAATGGACATTTATTTATTCATCACTGCTACAGTTGTGACGATGTGTATAGTGCTATTTCTAGTTATATTGTTGTTTTTTATTACCATTTTCATTATTTTATTTCACTTAGTCCTGCATGTTGGGGCTTGGAGCCTAATATTTTCACTGTACCCTGCAATCACACCTGCAACCCTGTACATGTGACTATTAAACACTGTACCCTGCAATCACACCTGCAACCCTGTACATGTGACTATTAAACACTGAATATGAATCTCTTCTCCTCCTCCCCTCTCCCTCTCCCCCTCATCCCATCCCATCCCTCTCCTCCTCCTCCTCCCCTCCTCTTCTCTCACAGTAGGGGAGCTGAGAAATGCAGGGAGTCAGGGACAGGCTATGTTGTTGTCTGCCTGGTGTGTGTGTGACTGGAACAAAACGCTTTTGAAATTCAAACTCCATATCAGCTTGTCTTTGGGTGGATGTTTGTGTGTGTGTGGCTCACTGCAGTGTGTGTGTGTTTGTGTGCATAGGTTGCTGTGTTTTTCGCCGTCAGTTCTGGGGAAGCCTGACTGTCACAGGTCTGGATGAAGTTCCAGTGTGCAGCAGCGCATATACACTGTTTGACAGTTTAATGGTGTGTGGATGGGTGTGTGCGAAGGAGGAGGAGTTATGGGCAACAAACCACACACACACACACACACACACACACACACACTGCAGCAGAGCGGTGTGTTGGCTGTGTCAAATGTGAAACCTGTCTCTGGCATCACATGCGTGACATGCCACCACCTGCCAACGTCAGTTCAGCCCCAAATGGTCACCGTAAACCCAATGTAACACATTTCCCATTCGTTTCGCCACACACACACACACACACAGAGGCGCCGCCATGTTCTCTCCATCTGCCTGCGACAGCTGTGGTAACAGAACAGAATGGGGGAGGGAAAGAGAGGGAAAGAGAGAGAAAGAGAGGTAAGATGATCTACCCTGTAAGAGCCAGTATGTGACCCTGACTACCACCTCCCCCATCCTCCCCCACTACTGATGGGAAGCTTCCAATCAGAACAGGGGATCAATAAGTCCTGGTCTCTAGGCCTGTGGAGCTGGATCTCTAAAGCTAACGACTACCACCTCAAAAGAAAGGAAGTGCATATTGATTAAAAAGGGTTAATAAGACCCAGCAGTCTGCCTAACATTGGGTGATTGGGTTGTGTATTACCTGATTGATTAATTGATACAGACGTAAGGGTTGACTTACTGTAATGACCCAAGATGATATCTAATATTACTGAATGTTCATGTTTCTTACTGAATAAGACATGTTAAGATAATGGCCATATTAAGATAATGGTATATATATTTTCCCAAAAAATATATGGGGGATTGGTAATGATGCAATTACATTGACATTAAGGCACTGCATCTCAGTGCTTGAGGCGTCACTACAGACCCACTGGTTCGATTCCAGGCTGTATCACAACCGGCCGTGATTGGGAGTCCCATAGGGCGGTGCACAATTGGCCCAGCGTCGTCTGGGTTTGGTCGGTGTAGGCCGTCATTGTAAATAAGAATTTGTTCTTAACTGACTTGCCTAGTTAAATAAAGGTAAAATAAAAATAAATAAATAAATTGACGGAAGCCACAATCTATCTACAATATTAAAGCGGATCTATAAAAAATGAATGGTATTTAGTGTACAAAACATTAGGAACACCTTCCTTATTGTTTCTAGTAGCAACAAATGTTTTGTTGTGATACAGCCCGGGATTGAACCCGGGTCTGTAGTGACACCTCTAGCACTGTGATGCAGTGCCTTACACCGCTGCGCCACTCGGGAGGCCCAGGAATACCTTCCTAATATTGAGTTGAAACCTCCCCCCTCAGAACAGCCTTATTTCGTTGGGGCATGGACTCTACAAGGGTCGAAAGCGTTCCAAAGGGATGCTGGCCCATGTTGACTCCAATGCTTCCCACAGTTGTGTCAAATTGGCTGGATGTCCTTTGGGCCGTGGACCATTCTTGATACACACAGGAAACTGTTGAGTGTGAAAAACCCAGCAGCATTGCAGTTCTTGACACACTCAAACCAGTGGCCAAGCATCTACTGCCATACCCCGTTCAAAGGCACTTAAATCTTTTGTCTTGCCCATTCAACCTCTGAATGGCACACACACACGTCTCAATTGTCTCAAGGCTTAAAAGTCCTTCTTTAACCTGTCTTCTCCCCTTAATCTACACTGATTTAAGTAGATTTAACAATTGACATCAATAAGGAATCATAGCTTTCACCTGGATTCACCTGGTCAGTCAATGTCATGGAAAGGGCATAATGGGATGTATACTCAGTGGATATAAATGTTAAATTGTCTGCTGTTTTGGTCTATGTATGTTTTTTTGTTTATTGTCAAAAAAAGTAATAAATATATTATATATATATATATATATATATATATATATATATATATATACACACACACAACCACAGTGAATTCGGAAAGTATTTGGACACCTTCCCTTTTTCCACATTTTGTTACGTTACAAATGTATTCTAAAATGGATTCAATAAAACAATTACCTCATCAATCTACACACGACCCCTTAATGAAGAAGTGAAAACAGGCTTTTAGACATTTTTGAAAATGTATTAAAAACAAAAAACTGAAATACCTTATTTACATAAGTATTCAGACCCTTTGCTATGAGACTCGAAATTGAGCTCAGGTGCATCCTGTTTCCATTGATCATCCTTGAGATGTTTATACAACTTGGAGTCCACCTGTGGTAAATTCAATTGTTTGGACATGATTTGGAAAGGCACACACCTGTCTATATAAGGTCCCACAATTGACAGTGTATGTCAGAGCAAAAACCAAGCCATGAGGTCGAAGGAATTGTCAGTAGAGCTCCGAGACAGGATTGTGTCGAGGCACAGATCTGGGGAAGGTTCCCAAAAAATGTATGCAGCATTGATGGTCCCCAAGAACACAGTGGCCTCCATCATTCTTAAATGGAAGGAGTTTGGAACCACCAAGACGCTTCCTAGAGCTGGCCGCCTGGCCAAACTGAGCAATCGTGGGAGAAGGGCCTTGGTCAGGGAGGTGACCAAGAACCTGATGGTCACTCTGACAGAGCTCCAAAGTTCCTCTGTGGAGATGGGAGAACCTTCCAGAAGGACAACTATCTCTGCAGCACTCCACCAATCAGGCCTTTATGGTAGAGTGGCCAGAAGGACACCACTCCTCAGTAAAAGGCACATGACAGCCCGCTTGGAGTTTGCCAAAAGGCACCTAAAGGACTGACCATGAGAAACAAGATTCTCTGGTCTGATGAAACCAAGAATGAACTCTCTGGCCTGAATGCCAAGCGTCACGTCTGCAGGAAACCTGGCACCATCCCTACAGTGAAGCATGGTGGTGGCAGCATCATGCTGTGGGGGACAGGGAGGGAAAGATTAATAGAGGGAAAGATTAATAGAGCAAAGTACAGAGAGATCCTTGATGAAAACCTGCTCCAGAGCGCTCAGGACCTCAAACTGGGGCGACGGTTCATCATCCGACAGGACAACGACCCTAAGTAAACAGCCAAGACAATGCATGAGTGGCTTCGGGACAAGTCTCTGAATGTCCTTGAGTGGCCCAGCCAGAGCCCGGACTTGAACCCGATCTAACAACTCTGGAGAGACCTGAAAATAGCTGTGCAGCAACACTCCCCATCCAACCTGACAGAGCTTGAGAGCATCTGCAGAGAAGAATGGAGAAACTACCCAAATACAGGTGTGACTAGCTTGTAGCGTTATACCCAAGAAGACGAGGCTGTAATCGCTGCCAAAGGTGCTTCAACAAAGCACTGAATAAAGGGTCTGAATACTTATGTACATTTAATATTTCCGTATTTTATTTATTTATATATTTGCTAACATTTTTAAAAACCTGTTTTTGCTTTGTCATTATGGAGTATTGTGTGTAGATTGATAGGGAAAAAAAAAAATTGAAAAGGGGCCCCGGGGGCCCAAAAAAAGGGGGGTTTAAAAAATTTTAAATAAAATTTTGGCCCCCAAAAAAAAAGGTTCCCCCCCCCAAAAAAACCCCCCCAAAATTTTTTGGGGGGGGCCCCAAAAAGGGCCCCCTTCCCCCCCCCCGGGGGGGAAAAAAACCCCCCCCAAAAAAAAATTTTCCCGGGGAAAATTTTAAAAAAACCCCCCCCCCCCGGGGGGGAAAAAAAACCCCCCCGGGCCCCCCCAAAAAAGGGGGGGTTTTTCCCGGGGAAAAAAAATGACCCCCTTTTTTTTTTTTCCCCAAAAATTTCCCCCCCCCCCCAAAAGGGGGCCCCTTTTTGGGGGGAAGGGGGGAAAAAAGGGGGGAAAAGGGGGGGAAAAAAAAATTTTTTAAAAAAAAAAATTTTCCCCGGGGGGGCCCCCCAAAAAAACCCCCAAAAAAACCCCCCGCCAAAGAAAAAAAAAACCCCAAAAGGGGGCCTTGGGGCCCCGAACCCAAAAGGGGGGGGGGAAAAATTGGGGGGAAAAAGGGCCTAAAACCCCCCCCCCCCAAAAAACCTCCCCCCATTTTTTAAAAAAAAAAAAAACCCAAAAAAATTGGGGGGCTTTAAAAAAAACCTTTTCCCCGGGGGGGGGTTTTTTTTTTTAATTTTTTTTAATTTTTTTATTTATATATTTGTTTTTTTTTAAAAAAATTTTTTTGCTTTTTTTGGGTTTTGTGGGGTTTAAAGGGAAAAAAAAATTTTTTTTAAAAATTTAACGTAAAAATTTTTTAAAAACCCGGGGGGAAATTTTCCAAGGTTTAATATGTAAAAAATTTTTTTTTTTTTTTAAAAAATTTTTTTTTTTTAAAAACCCCCCAAATAAAACCCCCAAAAATCATATATGCCGGGTCTGATGCCAAAAGGTCTGCTAAAAAAAAAAAAAAAAAAAAGGGGGAAAAGCCCCCCCCAAAAAAACCCCCTTTTTTCCCCCCCCAAAAATTTAATTTTTTTAAAAAAAGGGGAAAAAAACCCCCTTTTTTTAAAAAAACCCCCAATTAAAAATTTTTGGGGGGCATTCAGGGGGGGAGGAAGATGCCCTTTGGCCCCGGTTTCCCCCCCTTTTTTAAAAATTTTTTTGGGGAAAAAAAATTTTTTTTCCACCCCTGTGGGTTTTTTTAAAAACCCCCCCAAAAAGGGGGGGGGAGAGAGGGGGGAAAAAAAAGAGAGAGAAGAGAGAGAAAAAAAAAAAAAAAAAAATTTTAAAAACCCCCCCCCCCCTTTGGGGGGTTTTTTCCCCCCCTTTTTTCCCCTCCCCCCCCCCCTCCTTTTCCCCCCCCCCCGGTTTCCCCCCCCCCCCGGGGGCCCCCTCCCCCCTTCCCCCCTCTCCCCTTTTTCCCCCCCCTTTTTTTTTCCCCCCCCCCCCCCCCCGGGGGGGCCCCCTTTGCCCCCCCCCAAAAAAAACCCAAAAAAAAAAAAGAAAGAGGGGGAAAAAAAGAATAGAAGGGGGAAGAGAGGGGGGGAAAAAAAAAAGGGGTTTTTTCCCCCCCCCCCCCCCCCCCCCAAAAAAAACCCCCAAAAAAAAAAAAAAGAGATAAAAAAAAAAAAAAAAAGGGAAAAGGGGGGAGGGGATAAAAAAAAAAAAAAAGAAAAAAAAAAAAAAGGGAAAAGGGGGAAAAAAAAAAGGGAAAAAAGAAAAGGGGGGGAAAAAGGGGCCGGGGAAAAAGGGAAAAAAAAAAAAAAACCCCCCCCCCCCCCCCCCCCCTTTTTTTCCCCCCCCCCCCCCCCCCTTCCCCTCTCCCTTTTTCCCCCCCGCCCCCCCCCCCCAAGGTTCCCCCCCCCCTTCCCCCCCCCCCTTTTTTTTTTTTTTTTTCTCTCCCTTTTTTTTTTTCCCTTCCCCTCCCCCCATCCCCCTTTCCGGGCCCCCCCCCCCCCCCCCTTCGCCCCTTTTTCCCCCCCCGGGGGCCCCCCCAAACCCCCCCCCCCCCCCCTTTTCCCCCCCCCCCTTTTTTCCCCCCCCCCCCCTTTTCCCCTTTTCTTCCCCCCTCCCTTTTTTTTCCCCCCCCCCCCCCGGTTTTCCCCCCCCTTTTCCCCCCCCCCTTTTCCCCCCCCCCCCCCGGGGGGCCCCCCCCCCAAAAAAAAAAAAAAAAAGGGAAAAAAGGGAAAACCCCCGGGGGCCCCCCAATTTTTTTCCCCCCTTTCCCCCCCCCCCTTTTTTTTTTTTTTTTTTTTTTTTCCCCCCCCCCCTTTTGGGGGGTTTTTTTCCCCCCCCACCCCCCCAAAAACCCCCCCCTTTTTTTTAAAAAAAAAAAAAAAACACAAAAACCCCCCCCAAAAAAATCCCGGCCCCCAAAAAAAACCCCCCCTTTTCCCCCCTTCCCCCCCTTTTTTTTCCCCCCCCCCGCCCCCCCCCCCCCCCCCCCCCCCAAAACCCCCCCCTTTTTAAAAATTTTCCCCCCTTTTTCTTCCCCCTTTTTTTTCCCCCCCCCCTTTTTTTTTCCCCCCCCCTTTTCCCCCTTTTTTTCTTTTTTTTCTTTTTTTTTTTTAAAAAAGGGAAAAACCCCCCTTTCCCCAAAACCCCCCCCCCCCCCTTTCCCCCCCCCCAAAATTTCCCCCCCAAAAATTTTAAAAAAATTTTTTTTTTAAAAAAAAAATTTTTAAAAAAAAGGGGAAAAAAAAAAAAAAAAAAAAAAATTTTTTTTTTTTTAAAAAAAGGCCCCCCCCCCAAAAAAAAAGGGAAAAAAAAAAGAAAAAAAAAAATTTAAAAAAAACCCCCCCCCAAAAAAAACCCCCCGGGGGGAAAAAAAAATTTTTTAAAGGGGGAAAAAAAAAACCCCTTTTGGGGTTTTTGGGGGGGCCAAACCCCGGGGGGCCCCCCTTTTTAAAATTTTTTTTAAAAAAAAAAAAAGGGGGGGGGGGGGTTTTTTTTAAAACCCGGGGGTTTTTTTTTTAAAAAAATTTTTTTTTTGGGGGGTTGGGGGGGCCCCCCCCAAAAAAACCCCTTTTTTTTAAAACCCCCCCCCCCCTTTTTAAAAAACCCCCCCCTTTTTTTTAAATTTTTTTTTTTAAAAAAAACCCCCCCCCCCCCAAAACCCCCCCCCCCCCCCCGGGGCCCCCCCCCCTTTTTTTCCCCCCCCTTTTTTTTTTTCCCCAAAAAAAAAAGGGGGGGAAAAAAAAAAAAAAACCCCCTTTTTTTCCCCTTTCCCCCCCCCTTTTCCCCTTTTAAAAAAATTTTTTCCCCCCCCCCCTTTTTCCCCCCACAAACCCCCCCCCCCCCTTTTTTTTTTTTGGAACCTTAAGGGGGGAAAAAAACCTTTTTTTTTTTTTTAAAAAAATTTTTTTAAAAAACCCCCTTTTTTTTGGGGGGGGGGTTTTTTTCCCCCCCAACCAGGGCCCCCCCCCCTAGTTTTCTTTAAAATTTCCCTCCCCTTTTTTTTAAAAGCCCCAAAAAACCCCCAAAAAAAAAAACCCCAAAAAAAAATTTTCCCCCCCAAATTAAAAAATTTAAAAAAAGGGGGAGAACAAGTATTTGAAACACTGCCGATTTTGCAGGTTTTCCTACTTACAAAGCATGTAGAGGTCTGTAATTTTTATCATAGGTACACTTCAACTGTGAGAGACGGAATCTAAAATCCAGAAAATCACATTGTATGATTTTTAAGTAATTAATTTGCATTTTATTACATGACATAAGTATTTGATCACCTACCAACCAGTAAGAATTCCGGCTCTCAAAGACCTGTTAGTTTTTCTTTAAGAAGCCCTCCTGTTCTCCACTCATTACCTGTAATAACTGCACCTGTTTGAACTCGTTACCTGTATAAAAGACACCTGTCCACACACTCAATCAAACAGACTCCAACCTCTCCACAATGGCCAAGACCAGAGAGCTGTGTAAGGACATCAGGGATAAAATTGTAGACCTGCACAAGGCTGGGATGGGCTACAGGACAATAGGCAAGCAGCTTGGTGAGAAGGCAACAACTGTTGGCGCAATTATTAGAAAATTGAAGAAGTTCAAGATGACGGTCAATCACCCTCGGTCTGGGGCTCCATGCAAGATCTCACCTCGTGGGGCATCAATGATCATGAGGAAGGTGAGGGATCAGCCCAGAACTACACGGCAGGATCTGGTCAATGACCTGAAGAGAGCTGGGACCACAGTCTCAAAGAAAACCTTTAGTAACACACTACGCCGTCATGGATTAAAATCCTGCAGCGCACGCAAGGTCCCCCTGCTCAAGCCAGCGCATGTCCAGGCCCATCTGAAGTTTGCCAATGACCATCTGGATGATCCAGAGGAGGAATGGGAGAAGGTCATGTGGTCTGATGAGACAAAAATAGAGCTTTTTGGTCTAAACTCCACTCGCCGTGTTTGGAGGAAGAAGAAGGATGAGTACAACCCCAAGAACACCATCCCAACCGTGAAGCATGGAGGTGGAAACATCATTCTTTGGGGATGCTTTTCTGCAAAGGGGACAGGACGACTGCACAGTATTGAGGGGAGGATGGATGGGGCCATGTATCACGAGATCTTGGCCAACAACCTCCTTACCTCAGTAAGAGCATTGAAGATGGGTCGTGGCTGGGTCTTCCAGCATGACAACGACCCAAAACACACAGCCAGGGCAACTAAGGAGTGGCTCCGTAAGAAGCATCTCAAGGTCCTGGAGTGGCCTAGCCAGTCTCCAGACCTGAACCCAATAGAAAATCTATGGAGGGAGCTGAAAGTCCGTATTGCCCAGAGACAGCCCCAAAACCTGAAGGATCTGGAGAAGGTCTGTATGGAGGAGTGGGCCAAAATCCCTGCTGCAGTGTGTGCAAACCTGGTCAAGACCTACAGGAAACGTATGATCTCTGTAATTGCGAACAAAGGTTTCTGTACCAAATATTAAGTTCTGCTTTTCTGATGTATCAAATGCTTATGTCATGCAATAAAATGCAAATTAATTACTTAAAAATCAAACAATGTGATTTTCTGGATTTTTGTTTTAGATTCCGTCTCTCACAGTTGAAGTGTACCTATGATAAAAAATTACAGACCTCTACATGCTTTGTAAGTAGGAAAACCTGCAAAATCGGCAGTGTATCAAATACTTGTTCTCCCCACTGTACATAGTCAATGGTAGGCTTCGATGGGACTCCTATGGTAGCTACACCTATAGCTAATCTCTTGGCAGTAGTACTGTAGACTACTTTATCACTGACCTCAACCCACAGTCTCTCAGAGCGTTCACAGTCAGCCCACTGACACCCCTATCAGACCCCAGGAAAATCACAGTCTACTTGATCAGAGCAATACTCAATCATGAGGCATCAAAGCCAAAGGAACTGAATAATATTAAGAAATGCAAGGAAAGTAGTGTCGAAACCTACCAAAAAACTACTAGGCAACAACAAATTCAATCCCTTTTAGACAACTTCCTGGACAAAATGTTCCACCGTAATAGTGAAAGTGTAAACTTGGCAGTAGAAAACCTAAACAGTATATTTGACCTCTCAGATTCCCTATCAAATCTAAAAATCTCTAACAGAAAACAGAAGAAAAGTAACAACAGTGACAAATGGTTTGATGAAGAATGCAAAAACCTAAGAAAGAAATTGAGAAACCCATCCAACCAAAAACATAGAGACCCAGAAAACCTGAGCCTTCACTATGATGAATCACTAAAACAATACAGAAATACACTACGGAAAAAGAAGGAACGGCATCAGAAATCAGCTCAATGTAATTGAAGAATCCATAGACTCTAACCCCTTCTGGGAAAATTGGAAAACACTAAACAAACAACAACATGAAGAGCTACCTATCCAAAACGGAGATGTATGGGTAAACCACTTCTCCAATATGTTTGGCCATATAACAAAGAACAAACAGCAAAACAAATTACATGATCAAATGCAAATCTTAGAATCAACTATTAAAAACTACCAGAACCCACTGGATTCTCCAATTACATTGAATGAACTACAGGACAAAATACAAACCCTCACCCAAAAAGGCCTGTGGTGTTGATGGTATCCTCAACGAAATGATAAAATATACAGACCACAAATTCCAATTGGCTATACTTAAACTCTTTAACATCATCCTTAGCTCTGGCATCTTCCCCAATATTAGGAACCAAGGACTGATCACCCCAATCCACAAAAGTGGAGACAAATTTGACCCCAATAACTACCGTGGGATATGCGTCAACAGCAACCTTGGGAAAATCCTCTGCATTATCATTAACAGCAGAATAGTTTATTTCCTCAGTGAAAACAATGTACTGAGCAAATGTCAAATTGGCTTTTTACCAAATTACCGTACGACAGACCACGTATTCACCCTGCACACCCTAATTGACAAACAAACAAACCAAAACAAAGGCATCTCATGCTTTGTAGATTTCAAAGAAGCTTTTGACTCAATTTGACATGAGGGTCTGCTATACAAATTGATGGAAAGTGGTGTTGGGGGAAAAAATACGACATTATAAAATCCATGTACACAAACAACAAGTGTGCAGTTAAAATTGGCAAAAAACACAAGTTTCTTTCCACAGGGCCGTGGGGTGAGACAGGGATGCAGTTTAAGCCCCACCCTCTTCAACATATATATCAACGAATTAGCGAGGGCACTAGGAACAGTCTGCAGCACCCGGCCTCACCCTACTAGAATCTGAAGTCAAATGTCTACTGTTTGCTGATGATCTGGTGCTTCTGCCACCAACCAAGGAGGGCATACAGCAGCACCTAGATCTTAGGCCCTGACAGTAAATCTCAGTAAGACAAAAATAATGTTGTTCCAAAAAAGGTCCAGTTGCCAGGACCACAAATACAAATTGGAGAATCTCTTATAAAATGGGTTAAAATCATGTATAGTAACCCTAGGTGTAAAATAGTAAATAATGGCTATTTCTCAGAAAGTTTTAAACTGTCAAGAGGAGTGAAACAAGGTTTTCCACTATCGGCATATCTATTTATTATGGCCATCGAGATGTTAGCTATTAAAATCAGATCCAACAATAATATCAAAGAATTAGAAATCCAGGGCTTAAAAACAAAGGTGTCATTGTACGCTGATGATTCATGTTTTCTTTTAAATCCACAACTTGAATCCCTCCACAGCCTCATGGAGGATCTAGATACATTTTCTAACCTCTCTGGATTACAACGAAATTATGATAAATGTACTATATTACGTATTGGATCACTAAAAATAAAAAATTTACATTACCAGGTAATTTACGAATAAAATGGTCGGATGGTGATGTGGATATACTCGGAATACATATCCCAAATAAAATAAATGATCTCACTCCAATACATTTTAATAGAAAGTTAGCAAAAATAGATAAGATCTTGCTACCATGGAAAGGTAAATACCTGTTAATTTGTGGAAAAATCACCCTAATTAACTCTTTAGTATTATCCCAGTTTACCTATTTGCTTATGGTCTTGCCTACGCCTAGCGAACAGTTTTTTAAATTATATGAGAAAAAAATATTCAATTTTATTTGGAACGGCAAGCCAGACAAAATTAAACGGGCCTATTTTTTTTTTAGTCATTTAGCAGACGCTCTTATCCAGAGCGACTTACAGTTAGTGAGTGCATACATAATTTTTTTTCAATTCTTTTTCATACCCCCCGTGGGAATTGAACCCACAACCTTGGCGTTGCAAACGCCATGCTCTACCAACTGAGCTACACCCCCTGCCGGCCATTCCCTCCCCTACCCTAGACGACGCTGGGCCAATTGTGCGCCGCCCCATGGGTCTCCCGGTTTCGAACCAGGATCTCTAGTGGCACAGCTAGCACTGCGATACAGTGCCTTAGACCACTGCGCCACTCAGGAGATATAATGAATATGAATTCGGAGGACAGAAATGATTAAATATTAAAGCATTAGACATATCACTAAAAGCTTCAGTCATACAAAAGTTATACTTAAATCTGAACTGGTTATCTAGCAAATTAGTAAGATTGTCTCACCCAATGTTCAAGAATGGCCTTTTTCCCTTTATTCAGATTATAACCTCTCACTTTGAAGTACTTGAAAAGGAAATAATCTCCCAAATATCACTATTTCTAAAACAAGACATAGAAGGTTGGTTGCAATTTCAATTTAATCCGCCAGAAACGCCAGAACAAATAATGCAACAAATATTGTGGTTAAACTCAAATATACTAATTGATAATGTTTAAAAAAGGTATACTCTTCATAAATGATATCATCGGTAGGACTGGTGGAGTTATGTCGCACATTCAGCTAACAAAAACATATGGAAATGTCTGCTCTACCCAAAATTACAACCAAATAATTGCAGCATTACCGCAAATATGTAAGAGGAAAGTGGAAGGGGGAAAATGTAAGGAACTTGTCTGTCGGCCCTGCATTAAAGACCATAATTGGTTAAAGAAAACTGTGATAAATAACAAAGTATAGCAGTTTCATTTAAGGACCAAAGGATTGACAGCCGTCCCATATAGATAGCAAAATAGTTGGGAAGACATTTTTGACGTACCGATCCCATGGCATAGTGTTTATGAACTGATACGTAAAACAACGCCGGATTCAAAACGTATAATTTTTTTAATTATTATATAAAATTCTTGCTACCAATAGAATGTTATTTATATGGGGGATACAATCTTCCCAGCTCTGCAGATTTTGCTGCGAAGAGACAGAATCATTAGATCATTTGTTTTGGTACTGTCCATTTATAGCTTGTTTTTGGACACAGGTCCAGGAATGGCTAAAAGATTGCAATATTTACCTGGAGCTAACCCTGCAGATAGCATTACTGGGTGATCTGAAAAGTCATAGTCAATCGATCAATAATATAATAATACTTTTAGCAAAAATGTTTATTTTCAATTTACAATCTGTAGAAACAATGAGAATAGAAAGGTTCAGAACTTTTGTAAAACACCACAGTACAGTCGAGAAATATATGGCAAATAGAAATCCAATATGGATGGTGTTAAGCGATAAATGGGTGGTGCTGAATGGAGTTGAAGGATGGGACTAATAACAACTAACAACAACAAGATCAACTAATAATGTAAGCATACTGTGTCCATAATAAGTATATAGGTTATAGGTTGAGAGCTTTTGTGAAAGAGCACAGTTAGAAAGATATGGCATATAGAAGCAAACAGGATGGACATCATGAAAATGATCAGAGAGGTTGAGGAAGTTCAGGAGTAAAAACAAACAAAATAGAATTATTGTAAAATTGACTGTGTCCATAAAATGGATATACAGTGGGGAAAAAAAGTATTTAGTCAGCCACCAATTGTGCAAGTTCTCCCACTTAAAAAGATGAGAGAGGCCTGTAATTTTCATCATAGGTACACGTCAACTATGACAGACAAATTGAGAAAAAAAAATCCAGAAAATCACATTGTAGGATTTTTTATGAATTTATTTGCAAATTATGGTGGAAAATAAGTATTTGGTCACCTACAAACAAGCAAGATTTCTGGCTCTCACAGACCTGTAACTTCTTCTTTAAGAGGCTCCTCTGTCCTCCACTCGTTACCTGTATTAATGGCACCTGTTTGAACTTGTTATCAGTATAAAAGACACCTGTCCACAACTTCAAACAGTCACACTCCAAACTCCACTATGGCCAAGACCAAAGAGCTGTCAAAGGACACCAGAAACAAAATTGTAGACCTGCACCAGGCTGGGAAGACTGAATCTGCAATAGGTAAGCAGCTTGGTTTGAAGAAATCAACTGTGGGAGCAATTATTAGGAAATGGAAGACATAAAAGACCACTGATAATCTCCCTCGATTTGGGGCTCCACGCAAGATCTCACCCTGTGGGGTCAAAATGATCACAATAACGGTGAGCAAAAATCCCAGAACCACACGGGGGACCTAGTGAATGACCTGCAGAGAGCTGGGACCAAAGTAACAAAGCCTACCATCAGTAACACACTACGCCGCCAGGGACTCAAATCCTGCAGTGCAAGACGTGTCCCCCTGCTTAAGCCAGTACATGTCCAGGCCCGTCTGAAGTTTGCTAGAGTGCATTTGGATGATCCAGAAGAGGATTGGGAGAATGTCATATGGTCAGATGAAACCAAAATAGAACTTTTTGGTAAAAACTCAACTCGTCGTGTTTGGAGGACAAAGAATGCTGAGTTGCATCCAAAGAACACCATACCTACTGTGAAGCATGGGGGGTGGAAAACATCATGCTTTGGGGCTGTTTTTCTGCAAAGGGACCAGGACGACTGATCCGTGTAAAGGAAAGAATGAATGGGGCCATGTATCGTGAGATTTTGAGTGAAAACCTCCTTCCATCAGCAAGGGCATTGAAGATGAAACGTGGCTGGGTCTTTCAGCATGACAATGATCCCAAACACACCGCCCGGGCAACGAAGGAGTGGCGTCGTAAGAAGCATTTCAAGGTCCTGGAGTGGCCTAGCCAGTCTCCAGATCTCAACACCATAGAAAATCTTTGGAGGGAGTTGAAAGTCTGTGTTGCCCAGCGACAGCCCCAAAACATCACTGCTCTAGAGGATGAGAGCATGGAGGAATGGGCCAAAATACCAGCAACAGTGTGTGAAAACCTTGTGAAGACTTACAGAAAACGTTTGACCTGTGTCATTGCCAACAAAGCGTATATAACAAAGTATTGAGAAACTTTTGTTATTGACCAAATACTTATTTTCCACCATAATTTGCAAATAAATTCATTAAAAATCCTACAATGTGATTTTCTGGATTTTTTTTCCTCATTTTGTCTGTCATAGTTGACGTGTACCTATGATGAAAATTACAGGACTCTCTCATCTTTTTAAGTGGGAGAACTTGCACAATTGGTGGCTGACTAAATACTTTTTTTCCCCACTGTAGTTTGTATAAGATGGAAGTAGAGGCCTAGGCATTGTTGTTCACTAGTTTACTCCAATTAGGGAAGGGGTGGTGGGGTTGGAAAGTAATAAAGGGAAATATATATATATATAAAAGGAAATGTATACGTATGTGTATATATGTTTGTATATACAGTGTGGAGAACAAGTATTTGATACACTGCCGATTTTGCAGGTTTTCCTACTTACAAAGCATTTAGAGGTCTGTAATTCTTATCATAGGTACACTTCAACTGTTAGAGACGGAATCTAAAACAAAAATCCAGAAAATCACATTGTATGATTTTTAAGTAATTAATTTGCATTTTATTGGTCCCAATTGCGATGTTGTGGCAGGACTTGAAACGAGCAGTTCATGCTTGAAAACCCACACATCACTGCGTTAAAGCAGTTCTGCATGGAAGAGTGGGCCAAAATTCCTCCACAGCGACGTGAGAGACTGATCAACAACTACAGGAAGCATTTGGTTGGAGTCATTGCAGCTAAAGGTGGCACAACCAGTTATTGAGTGTAAGGGGGCAATTACTTTTTCACACAGGGGAATTGGGTGTTGCATAACTTTGTTTATAAAATAAATGATATAAATATGTAATTGTTGTGTTATTTGTTCACTTATGTTCCCTTTATCTAATATTAGGTTTTGGTTGAAGATCTAATAACATTCAGTATCACAAATATGCAAAAGTAGAGAAAATTAGAAAGGGGTCAAATACTTTTTCATAGCACTGTATATATATATATATATATATGAATGTATGTATGTATGTATGTATGTATGTATGTATGTATGTATGTATGTATGTATGTATGTATGTATGTATGTGTGTATATTTATATATATTTGCGAGAAGAAAAAAAAACATATGGGGGATTGGAAGTGATTCAGACAATTACATTAATGGAAGTTACAATCTATCTGCAATATTAAAGCTGATCTACCCCCTAACAAAAAAAAACAAAAAAAAAATACAATTTCCATCTAGACACCGTTGCCCTAGAGCACACAAAAAACTATACATACCTTGACCTAAACATCAGCGCCACAGGTAACTTCCACAAAGCTGTGAACGATCTGAGAGACAAGGCAAGAAGGGCCTTCTATGCCATCAAAAGGAACATAAAATTCGACATACCAATTAGGATCTGGCTAAAAATACTTGAATCAGTTATAGAACCCATTGCCCTTTATGGTTGTGAGGTCTGGGGTCCGCACACCAACCAATAATTCACAAAATGGGACAGACACCAAATTGAGACTCTGCATGCAGAATTCGGCAAAAATATCCTCAGTGTACAACGAAAAACACCAAATAATGCATGCAGAGCAGAATTAGGCTGATACCCGCTAATTATCAAAATCCAGAAAAGAGGTGTTAAATTCTATAACCACTTAAAAGGAAGTGATTCCCAAACCTTCCATTACAAAGCCATCACCTACAGAGAGATGAACTTGGAGTAGAGTCCCCTAAGTAAGCTGGTCCTGGGGCTCTGTTCACCAACACAAACAGACCCCACAGAGCCCCAGGACAACACAACAACACAATTAGATCCAACCAAATCATGAGAAAACAAAAAGAGAATTACTTGACACATTGGAAATAATTAACAAAAAGACTGAGCAAACTAGAATGCTATTTGGCCCTAAACAGAGAGTACACAGTGGCAGAATACCTGACCACTGTGACTGACCAAAACTTAAGGAAAGCTTTGACTATGTACAGACTCAGTGAGCATAGCCTTGCTATTGAGAAAGGCCGCCATAGGCAGACCTGGCTTTCAAGAGAAGACAGGCTATGTGCACACCGCCCCACAAAGTGAGGTGGAAACTGAGCTGCACTTCCTAACCTCCTGCCAAATGTATGACCATATTAGAGACACATATTTCCCTCAGATTACACAGATCCACAAAGAATTCGAAAACAAACCCAATTTTGATAAACTCCCTTATCTACTGGGTGAAAAACCACAGTGTGCCATCACAGTAGCAAGATTTGTGACCTGTTGCCACAAGAAAAGGGCAACCAGTGAAGAACAAACACCATTGTAAATACAACCCATATTTATGTGTATTTATTTTCCCATTTGTACTTTAACTATTTGCACATTGTTACAACACTGTATATATATATATATATATAATATGACATTTGAAATGTCTTTATTCTTTTGGAACTTCTGAGTGTAATGTTTACTGTACATTTTTTATTGTTTATTTCACTTTTGTTTACTATCTACTTCACTTGCCTTGGCAATGTTAACATACGTTTCCCATGCCAATAAAGCCTTTACATTGAAATTGAAATTGAATTGAGAGAGAGAGAGCAAAAGGGAGGGAGAGTTAGAGCATAGGATGGAGAGAGATGATGCAAAAAGAGACAGGCTAGAAGAATGGACAGATTGAGAGCTGAGAGAAATTGATGCAAAACCCTGAAATAGGACAGAGGGATGACATGAGAGAGAAAAAAGAGGGAGGAAGAGAGCTGGTGGGAGGGAAGTTAAGGTAAACCACAGCTGTTAGGTGTCAGAGCAGCAGTGTATGGATGCTTAACCTCTGACCACATATATAATGCATTAGTTCTATTCTGACAATGACTGGCCCTGGGCCTCTTGGGGATGAAGAAGCTTCTTGACACTGATCCAAGGTCAGTTTTGCGTTTCCCTGCCTATGGCTAAGGTTTGGCTTTGGAGTGGGTAAGCTGACACTAGATCTGTACTTAAGGAGGCAGAGCTCTTACCTACCCAAAACAAGATGGCCGCCAAATGTCCTCCAATGGCTCCCAACTGGTAGCAGACTAACACGCAAACCGGCCTCCTTCTGTAATGGTCTTCTGTCTTCCCTCTGGCTTTACCTTGGGAGGAAAACAACCGAACAAGGATACATCCATCAGATGAAAAATTAAATGAGTGAAAACATATTCTGTGAGGGGCTCCTGTGTTTGGTAATAGTCCCTCAGTCTACCAGTACTGCCTCAGTGAGCCACCTCCTTTGTTCATTAATTGATTGTCTCGCCCCTGCTGAGCTCCAGTAACTAGGTTACATGGATTCATGAAAGGCAGAACTGACACCTCTCGTCTACTGAGACCAGGAGGAGACGAGAGATGGATGACGACTCCGGGGCATGGAGGAACCAGGAATCACTGGCTGTTAATAGAACTAATGGAGTAAGGTAGACGATGGTAGCTTTATTGAAATAACCCTCATTTAATTAGCCTGAGTGATTGACGAGAGGAAGGAACAGGCCGGGGAGATGGGTGAGAGGAAGCCATTATGTGAAGCTGATGATGTCACTTGAAAGGCTGTGTATCATGTAAATGGATCTGAGGAGAGGAGTTAAAATTTCACATTTTTATTGTCATGTGCACAAGTACAGTGAAATGCCTTTCTTACTTACTAATTTCCAACAATGCAGTAATCAATATAGGGCTGACCGCATTTAGTCGACTGGTCGATTGTTTGGTCGAAAGGCTGTTGGTCGACCGATATTTATTTAGTCGAGTAGTAGCAACAAAAAAAATATTTATATATATCATTGTGTCTGAGTGGGCTGATCGATTGTGGAGACTGTGGGGATTGAACAGTCCATCGCTCTAAGACATGTGCTACTGAAATTGTATATGATATATTACATAAGAACAATGGTGCAACACTAATAAAAAGTATATTATTTTATAACAAATTCGCTTTCTACCGCATTGGATAGTGGTTGCTGTCCGCAGTTCTGAAACACATCAGTGCGCTGTTGAATTGATGACTTTTCCTAGAACATGTTGCTATGTGCGTAATAGCAAAGTTAACCAGCATATTGGTGTTGAGAACAATGCCGCGGACGCAGCAGCAGAATGACGAGATGAGAAAACAGCCCTTGCCTTATTGTCTAAGAAAAGTGAGGAGAGAGGAAACCCCAACTTAATTAGGTCTATAATCAATAACCTAACTGTTAAATGTGTCTGGCTTTATAAATCATCCATATATATCTACAGAAATAAGACAGATTCTGCTTCTGTTGCCTGTTTGAGTGTTTGATTAATATCCTACCAATTCCGTGAGCACCAAGCCTAACGCAACGACATGTCAAGTAAACAATTTCACAAACTCAGCTGTTTCTAATCTTTGCTTTGCTGTAATAAAGGCTTTACACTTTTTTTTTTTCATCAACACAACCTCTCTGGTATTATTTATAATATATTTAGTGTTACAAATTGTCCGAAAAGTTATATTTATAATAATAACGCTCCTTTTTCTTGATCTCCTTATTGTTATTGTTATTATTATTATTATTATTATGATCATCATTATAATAATAATAATATGTAATGTCATTATCATTAGTAAGCTTAGTATAGCAGCCTTGTATAACCACCATCGAGGTGTAGGCCTGAGTGCATCCTGTTTAGTCATAATATTATAACGTACTTAGGCCTTTATTTCAATATATAGGCTAATGTGTCAATCGTTCATTCATTCATGTCATCACACAGCATACGAGTCATTCATGATTAGAAATGCAATCAAGCATTTTAGTTTTAAAATAAAGTGAGCCTTGAATAATTAGCTTAAACAATAAATAAACCATTCTATTTCGGAAATTGCATTCACAAATGAATGTGACTCTTTTTAGTCTTTTTTTTTTTGTTTGCAAGAGGAACAGAATGTGCAGATTTCTCAAATCTATTTTGTATAGTTATTTTTTAATTTAATTTGGTGTTTTTTTTAAGTTGGTAGATCTGCTTTATTATTGCAGATTGTGGCTTCTATCAATGTAATTGTCTGCATCATTTCCAATCCCCCATATATATTTTTTATAAATATACACTACCGTTCAAAAGTTTAGGGTCACCCAGACATCTCCCTGCCTTCAAAAGAAAAGCAATTTCCCTATCCATCAAAACAACATCAAATTGATCAGAAATACAGTGCAGACACCGCCAACGCTGCAAATGGCTACCGCAGCTGGAAACGGCTGATTCCAAATGGAACATCCACATAGGCGTACAGAGACTGTTTTTAGTCTTTGCTGTAATAAAAGTTTGAAAAATTTTTTTTTACAACAGACTCTCTGGTACGCTTACAATTTATTTAGTGTTGTTTACATTGTTTAAAACGGTCAGAAAAATTATAATCTAACAGTAAGTTTACATACACTTAGGTTGGAGTCATTAAAACTCGTTTTTCAACCACTCTACACATTTCTTGATAACAAACTATAGTTTTGGCAAGTCGGTTAGGACATCTACTTTGTGCATGACACAAGTAATTTTCCCAACAATTGTTTACAGACAGATTATTTCACTTATAATTCACTGTATCACAATTCCAGTGGGTCAGAAATTTACATACACTAAGTTGACTGTGCCTTTAATCAGCTTAGAAAATTCCAGAAAATGATGTCATGGGTTTAGAAGCTCCTGATAGGCTAATTGACATCATTTGAGTCAATTGGAGGTGTACCTGTGGATGTATTTCAAGGCCTACCTTCAAACTCAGTGCCTCTTTGCTTGACATCATGGGAAAATCAAAAGAAATCAGCCAAGACCTCCACAAGTCTGGTACATCCCTGGGAGCAATTTCCAAACGCCTGAAGGTACCACGTTCATCTGTACAAACAATATTACGCAAGTAAAACACCATGGGACCACGTAGCCGTCATACCGCTCAGGAAGGAGTCGCGTTCTGTCTCCTAGAGATTTATGTACTTTGGTGCGAAAAGTGTAAATCAATCCCAGAACAGCAGCAAAGGACCTTGTGAAGATGCTGGAGGAAACAGGTACAAAAGTATCTATATCCACAGTAAAATGAGTCCTATATCGACATAACCTGAAAGGCCGCTCAGCAACGAAGAAGCCACTGCTCCAAATCCGCCATAAAAAAGACAGACTACGGTTTGCAACTGTACATGGGGACAAAGACAGTACTTTTTGGAGAAATGTCCTATGGTCTGATGAAATAAAAATACAACTGTTTGGCCATAATTACCATTGTTACAGTGGCTTGCGAAAGTATTCAACCCCCTTGGCATTTTTCCTATTTTGTTGCCTTACAACCTGGAATTAAAATTGATTTTTGGGGGGTTTGTATCATTTGATTTACACAACATGCCTACCACTTTGAAGATGCAAAATATGTTTTTTTTGTGTGAAACAAACAAGAAATAAGACATAAAAACAGAACTTGAGCGTGCATACCTATTCACCCCCCCAAAGTAAATACATTGTAGAGCCACCTTTTGCAGCAATTACAGCTGCAAGTCTCTTGGGGTATGTGTCTATAAGCTTGGCACATCTAGCCACTGGGATTTCTGCCCATTCTTCAAGGCAAAACTGCTCCAGCTCCTTCAAGTTGGATGGGTTCCGCTGGTGTACAGCAATCTTTAAATCATACAACAGATTCTCAATTGGATTGAGGTCTGGGCTTTGACTAGGCCATTCCAATATATTTTAAATGTTTCCCCTTAAACCACTCAAGTGTTGCTTTAGCAGTATGCTTAGGGTCATTGTCCTGCTGGAAGGTGAACCTCCGTCCCAGTCTCAAATCTCTTTAAGACTGAAACAGGTTTCCCTCAACAATTTCCCTGTATTTAGCGCCATCCATCATTCCTTCAATTCTGACCAGTGCTTCACTGTGGGGATGGTGTTCTCGGGGTGATGAGAGGTGTTGGGTTTGTGCCAGACATAGCGTTTTCCTTGATGAACAAAAAGCTCAATTTTAGTCTCACCTGACCAGAGCACCTTCTTCCATATGTTTGGGGAGTCTCCCACATGCCTTTTGGCGAACACCAAACGTATTTGCTTATTTTTTTGATTTAAGAAAAGGGGGTTTTTTTTTCTGGCCCCTTTTTTCCGAAAAGGGGCCCACCCTCTGGGGAAATAAACGGCAAAAGGGGGCCCAAAATGGCGATATTTCCACCCCTTCCCGCTGTGGAGTTTTGGGGCGGCTCCTTCAGGATTATTTTTGGGCCCCTCATTTTTTTTGCCCCCTCTGATTAAAATTTCCCCCTCCTTTCCGGGGGCCCTGGGATTTTTTGGGTGGGGGGCCCCTCTCTTTTGGCCCGGTTTCCCGTTTTTTGGGGGGCCATATTCTTTAAAATTTTTTAAGGGTGCTTCCGGGGATTTTTAAAAAATTTTTGGGATATTTTTTAAAAACCCAACCTGTTTTCTGTACTTCTCCCCCAAATTTTTTGGTCCCTGACCTTTTTTGGGAAGGCTTGGGGTTCCCCTTCCCTTGGGGGTTGTTTTCAGACTCGGGGGCCCTTTTTCGAACAGGTGAAATATATACGGGAGATCATGTAAAAAACAGTTTTGGGACACAGGTGGACTTTATTTGACAAATTATGTTACTTCTGAAGGTTAATTGGTTGCACCAGATCTTGTTTAGAGGCTTCATAGCAAAGGGGGTGAATACATATGCACGCACCACTTTTCCGGTATTTATTTTGTAGAATTTTTTGAAACAAGTTTTTTTTTTTTTACTTCACCAATTTGGACTATTTAGTGTATGTCCATTACATGAAATGCTAATTAAAATCCATTTAAATTACAGGTTGTAATGCAACAAAATAGGAAAAATGCCAAAGGGGGTGAATACTTTTGCAAGGCACTGTATGTTTGGAGGAAAAAGGGGGTAGCTTGCAAGCCGAAGAACACCATCCCAACCGTGAAGCACGGGGGTGGCAGCATCATGCTGTGGGGGTGATTTGCTGCAGGAGGGACTGGTGCACTTCACAAAATAGATGGCATCATGAGGAAGGAAAATTATGTGGATATATTGAAGCAACATCTCAAGACATCAGTCAGGAAGTTAAAGCTTGGTCGCAAATGGGTCTTCCAAATGGACAATGACCCCAAGCATACTTCCAAAGTTGTGGCAAAATGGCTTAAGGACAACAAAGTCAAGGTATTGGAGTGGCCATCACAAAGCCCTGACCTCAATCCAATAGAACATTTGTGGGCAGAACTGAAAAAGCGTGTGTGAGCAAGGAGGCCTACAAACCTGACTCTGTCAAGAGGAATGGGCCAAAATTCACCCAACTTATTGTGGGAAGCTTGTGGAAGGCTACCCGACACGTTTGACCCAAGTTAAACAATTTAAAGGCAATGCTACCAAATACTAATTGAGTGTATGTAAACTTCTAACCCACTGGGAATGTGATGAAAGAAATAAAAGCTGAAATAAATCATTCTCTCTACTATTATTATGATATTTCACATTCTTAAAATAAAGTGGTGATCCTAACTGACCTAAGACAGGGAATTTTTACTAGGATTAAATGTCAGGAATAGTGAAAAACTGAGTTTAAATGTATTTGACTAAGGTGTACAGTGAGGGAAAAAAGTATTTGATCCCCTGCTGATTTGTACGTTTGCCCACTGACAAAGAAATGATCAGTCTATAATTTTAATGGTAGGTTTATTTGAACAGTGAGAGACAGAATAACAACAAAAGAATCCAGAAAAACGCATGTCAAAAATGTTATAAATTGATTTGCATTTTAATGAGGGAAATAAGTATTTGACCCCCTCTCAATCAGAAAGATTTCTGGCTCCCAGGTGTCTTTTATACAGGTAACGAGCTGAGATTAGGAGCACACTCTTAAAGGGAGTGCTCCTAATCTCAGCTTGTTACCTGTATAAAAGACACCTGTCCACAGAAGCAATCCATCAATCAGATTCCAAACTCTCCACCATGGCCAAGACCAAAGAGCTCTCCAAGGATGTCAGGGACAAGATTGTAGACCTACACAAGGCTGGAATGGGCTACAAGACCATCGCCAAGCAGCTTGGTGAGAAGGTGACAACAGTTGGTGCGATTATTCGCAAATGGGAAGAAACACAAAATAAACTGTCATCTCCCTCGGCCTGGGGCTCCATGCAAGATCTCACCTCGTGGATTTGCAATGATCATGAGAACAGTGAGGAATCAGCCCAGAACTACACGGGAGGATCTTGTCAATGATCTCAAGGCAGCTGGGACCATAGTCACCAAGGAAACAATTGGTAACACACTATGCCGTGAAGGACTGAAATCCTGCAGCGCCCGCAAGGTCCCCCTGCTCAAGAAAGCACATATACATGCCCGTCTGAAGTTTGCCAATGAACATCTGAATGATTCAGAGGAGAACTGGGTGAAAGTGTTGTGGTCAGATGAGACCAAAATTGAGCTCTTTGGCATCAACTCAACCTCGCTTGTTTGGAGGAGGAAGAATGCTGCCTATGACCCCAAGAACACCATCCCCACCAGTCAAACATGGAGGTGGAAACATTATGCTTTGGGGGGTGTTTTTCTGCTAAGGGGACAGGACAACGTCACCGCATCAAAGGGACGATGGACGGGGCCATGTACCGTCAAATCTTGGGTGAGAACCTCCTTCCCTCAGCCAGGGCATTGAAAATGGGGTCGTGGATGGGTATTCCAGCATGACAATGACCCAAAACACACGGCCAAGGCAACAAAGGAGTGGCTCAAGAAGATGCACATTAAGGTCCTGGAGTGGCCTAGCCAGTCTCCAGACCTTAATCCCATAGAACATCTGCGGAGGGAGCTGAAGGTTCGAGTTGCCAAACGTCAGCCTCGAAACCTTAATGACTTGGAGAAGATCTGCAAAGAGGAGTGGGACAAACCTGGTGGCCAACCTCCTGAGATGTTTGCAAACCTGGTGGCCAACTACAAGAAACGTCTGACCTCTGTGATTGCCAACAAGGGTTTTGCCACCAAGTACTAAGTAATGTTTTGCAGAGGGGTCAAATACTTATTTCCCTCATTAAAATGCAAATCAATTTATAAAAATTTTGTCATGCGTTTTTCTGGATTTTGTTGTTGTTATTCTGTCTCTCACTGTTCAAATAAACGTACCATTAAAATTATAGACTGATCATTTCTTTGTCAGTGGGCAAACGTACAAAATCAGCAGGGGATCAAATACTTTTTTCCCTCACTGTATGTAAACTTCCGACTTCAACTGTATATACAGGCTCAGTTCCAGGGTCAGTAGCTATATACAGGGTCAGTTCCTGGCCAACACCATATTTACAATTAAAATTAAATCGCATTTTATTTGTCATATGCTTCATAAACAACAGGTGTAGACTAACAGTGAAATGCTTATTTACAGGCCCTTCCTAACAATGCAGAGAGAAAAAAATAGAAATGATAGAAAAATAATAACATGAGGAATAAATACACAATGAGTAACGATTGGCTATATACACCGGGTACCAGTACCGAGTCAATGTGCAGGGGTATGAGGTAATTGAGGTAGATATGTACATACAGTGGGGAGAACAAGCATGTAGAGGTCTGTCATTTTTATCATAGGTACACTTCAACTGTGAGAGACGGAATCTAAAACAAAAATCCAGAAAATCACATTGTATGATTTTTAAGTAATTAATTAGCATTTTATTGCATGAACATAAGTTATTGATCACCTACCAACCAGTAAGAATTCCGGCTCTCACAGACCTGTTAGTTTTTTCTTTAAGAACCCCTCCTGTTCTCCACTCATTACTGTATTAAACTGCATCCTGTTTGAACTCGTTACCTGTATAAAGACACCTGTCCACACACTCAATCAAACAGACTCCAACCTCTCCACAATGGCCAAACCAGAGAGCTGTGGTAAGGACATCAGGGATAACATTGTAGACTGCACAAGGCTCGGATGGGTTACAGGACAATAGGCAAGCAGCTTGGTGAGAAGGGCAAACAACTGTTTGGCGCAATTATTTGAAAAATTCCCCCCCCCACCCTCGGGGGGAAAAATCAATCCATTTTTGGGGAAAAGGTGGGGGTCGGGGCCCAAAACTACACAAAAAAAAAAGGAACCCGGGGTAAAATGCCCCAAAAAAACGGAGAGCTGGGCCCCCAATCCCCAAAAAAAAACCCATTTTTAAAACACAAATTCCCCCAGGATTAAAATTTCCTTAAAAAAGCGCAACCCGCAAGGCCCCCCGTTTAAAAAGCCGGGTCCCTTCCCAGGGGGCCCCGTTTTGTTTTTTGGGCCAAGCCCCATTTTGGATAAACCCAGAGGAAAATGGGGAAGGTAATGGGGTTTCCTAAATAAAAAAACAAAAAAAATAAAAGGTTTTTTGGGGTCAAAAAATTTCCATTTTCCCCCTTGTTTTAAAAAAAAAGGAAAAAAACCCAAGGGGGGGTTATCCCCAACCCCCCCCCAAAAAAAACCCCCAAAACATGGAGGGGGGAAACACTTCCTTCTTTTTTTCTGAAAAGGGGACAGGACGACTGCACCGTATTGAGGGGAGGTTGGATGGGGCCATGTATTGCGAGATCTTGGCCAACAACCTCCTTCCCTCAGTAAGAGCATTGAAGATGGGTCGTGGCTGGGTGTTCCAGCATGACAACGACCCGAAACACACAGCCAGGGCAACTAAGGAGTGACTCCGTAAGAAGCATCTCAAGGTCCTGGAATGGCCTAGCCAGTCTCCAGACCTGAACCCAATAGAACATCTTTGGAGGGAGCTGAAAGTCTGTATTGCCCAGAGACAGCCCCGAAACCTGAAGGATCTGGAGAAGGTCTGTATGGAGGAGTGGGCCAAAATCCCTGCTGCAGTGTGTGTAATCCTGGTCAAGACCTACAGGAAACGTATGATCTCTGTAATTGCAAACAAAGGTTTCTGTACCAAATATTAAGTTCTGCTTTTCTGATGTATCAAATACTTATGTCATGCAATAAAATGCAAATTAATTACTTAAAAATCATACAATGTGATTTTCTGGATTTTTGTTTTAGATTCCGTCTCTCACAGTTGAAGTGTACCTATGATAAAAATGACAGACCTCTACATGCTTTGTAAGTAGGAAAACCTGCAAAATCGGCAGTGTATCAAATACTTGTTCTCCCCACTGTATAGGTAGGGGTATAGTGACTAGGCAACAGGATAGATGATAGACAGTAGCAGCAGCGTATGTGATGAGTCAAAAGAGTTGCAATGAGTCAAAAGAGTGCAAAAAGAGTCAAAAGAGTGCAAAAAGGGTCAATACAGATAGTTAACCAATAGCTACCCGTACTATCTATTTATCAGTCTTATGGCTTGGGGTTAGAAGCTGTTCAGGGTCCTGTTGGTTCCAGACTTGATGCATTTGTACTGCTTGCCGTGCGGTAGCAGACAGAACAGTCTATGACTTGGGTGGCTGGAGTCAGACAATTTTTAGGGCCTTCCTCTGACACCGCCTGGTATAGAGGTCCTGGAGAGGAGAGGAGTAGAGGAGTAGAGGATGAGATGAGTAGAGGAGTAGAGGATGAAAGGAGTAGAGGAGGACAGTAGAGGAGGAGAAGAGAGAAGAGGAGGAGAGGAGTAGAGGAAGATGAGAAAGACAGGATATGGATTAGCGGATGAGGAGTAGAGCTTCGCGGCGAGACTCTTCTCGTGAGGCGTCTGCTACTCGCTGCGTGTAGAGCGTCCGAGGCGGCTCTGCTCGTCGCTCGCGGAGATGCTTAGTCTCTAGTCTCTGCGCCGCTGCGACTGGCTGGCGGGAGGAGTAGACGGAGGAGGGAGTGAGCTCTGGGATGTTGGTGACCTCTAGGAGACAAGGAGGTAGCCGTAGGACTGAGGGGAGGTTGATGTTCTGTAATGAATTACTGGTCAATGGCATACTATATGAGTTTGTGAAGGGTGGTAGGTACTAGGGAGGGTGAGTGTGTGTGTATGAGGGGTGATAAAGGCCATAAATTGAGCCGACTGTATTGAAAAAAGTGACAAGTCCATCCAATACATGGAACCACAGCCTGCCTGGAACTGGATGGCCTGGCCCTTTCAATTCTTGTCACCTCCCAGTTCGTATGTACAGTGCATTCGGAAAGTATTCAGACTCCTTGACTTTTTCCACATTTTGTTACGTTACAGCCTTATTGTAAAGTTTATGAGAAAAAAAATTCCCCTCATCAATCTATAGTCGTGGTCAAAAGTTTTGAGAATGACACAAGTATTGGTCTTCACAAAGTTCGCTGCTTCAGTGTTATGAGATATTTTTGTCAGATGTTACTATGGTATACTGAAGTATAATTACAAGCATTCCATAAGTGTCAAAGGCTTTTATTGACAATTACATTAAGTTTATGCAAAGAGTCAATATTTGCAGTGCTGACCCTTCTTTTTCAAGACCTCTGCAATCTGCCCTGGCATGCTGTCAATTAACTTCTGGGCCACATTCTGACTGATGGCAGCCCATTCTTGCATAATCAATGCTTGGAGTTTGTGGGTTTTTGTTTGTACACCCGCCTCTCGAGGATCGGCCACAAGTTCTCAATGGGATTAAGGTCGGGGAGTTTCCTGGCCATGGACCCAAAATGTTGATGTTTTGTTCCCCGAGCCACTTAGTTATCACTTTTGCCTTATGGCAAGGTGCTCCATCAAGCTGGAAAAGGCATTGGTCATCACCAAACTGTTCTTGGATGGTTGGGAGAAGTTGCTCTCAGAGGATGTGTTGGTACCATTCTTTATTCATGGCTGTGTTCTTAGGCAAAAATATGAGTGAGCCCACTCCCTTGGCTGAGAAGCAATCCCACACTTGAATGGTCTCAGGATGCTTTACTGTTGGCTTGACACAGGACTGATGGTAGCGCTCACCTTGTCTTCTCCGGACAAGGTGTTTTCCGGATGCCCCAAACAATCGGAAAGGGGATTCATCAGAGAAAATTACTTTACCCCAGCAATGATGACGGCACGTGTTTCCTTGCAGGTAACCATGGTTAACAGAGGATGAACAATTATTTCAAGCACCACCCTCCTTTTAAAGCTTCCAGTCTGTTTTTCTAACTCAATCGGCATGACAGAGTGATCTCCAGCCTTGTCAACACTCTCACCTGTGTTAACGAGAGAATCACTGACATGATGGCAGCTGGTCCTTTTGTGGCAGGGCTGAAATGCAGTGGAAATGTTTTTTTGGGGATTAAGTTCATTTTCATGGCAAAGAGGGACTTTGCAATTAATGCATTCCAGGTGATTACCTCATGAAGCTGATTGAGAGAATGCCAAGAATGTTCAAAGCTGTCATCAAGGCAAAGGGTGGCTACATTGAAGAATCTCAAATATAAAATATATTTTGATTTGTTTAACACTTTTTTGGTTACTAAATGATTCCATATGTGTTATTTCATAGTTTTGATATCTTCACTATTATTCCACAATGTAGAAAATAGTAAAAAATAAAGAAAAAACCTTGAATGAGTAGCTGTGTCCAAACGTTTGACTGGTACTCCGTGTGTGTGTGTGTGTGTGTGTGTGTGTGTGTGTGTGTGTGTGTGTGTGTGTGTGTGTGTGTGTGTGTGTGTGTGTGTGTGTGTGGTGTGTGTGTGTGTGTGTGTAGCAGGATTTAGAATCAGACCAGGGACACCAGAGACAGAGTGTAGGCTACAATTCTCAGCCGTGACATTTTCACTCAAGATATGTACTTGATAAGATATAGGAACAACATTGTATTTTCTTATTCTGGACTGGTTGTCATTCAGTTACAGTGGGGAAAAAATGTATTTAGTCAGCCACCAATTGTGCAAGTTCTCCCACTTAAAAAGATGAGAGAGGCCTGTAATTTTCATCATAGGTACACGTCAACTATGACAGACAAAATGAGAAAAGAAAATCCAGAAAATCACATTGTAGGATTTTTAATGAATTTATTTGCAAATTATGGTGGAAAATAAGTATTTGGTCAATAACAAAAGTTTCTCAATACTTTGTTATATACCCTTTGTTGGCAATGACACAGGTCAAACGTTTTCTGTAAGTCTTCACAAGGTTTTCACACACTGTTGCTGGTATTTTGGCCCATTCCTCCATGCAGATCTCCTCTAGAGCAGTGATGTTTTGGGGCTGTCGCTGGGCAACACGGACTTTCAACTACCTCCAAAGATTTTCTATGGGGTTGAGATCTGGAGACTGGCTAGGCCACTCCAGGACCTTGAAATGCTTCTTACGAAGCCACTCCTTCGTTGCCCGGGCGGAGTGTTTGGGATCATTGTCATGCTGAAAGACCCAGCCACGTTTCATCTTCAATGCCCTTGCTGATGGAAGGAGGTTTTCACTCAAAAGCTCACGATACATGGCCCCATTCATTCTTTCCTTTACACGGATCAGTCGTCCTGGTCCCTTTGCAGAAAAACAGCCCCAAAGCATGATGTTTCCACCCCCATGCTTCACAGTAGGTATGGAGTTATTTGGATGCAACTCAGCATTCTTTGTCCTCCAAACACGACGAGTTGAGTTTTTACCAAAAAGTTCTATTTTGGTTTCATCTGACCATATGACATTCTCCCAATCCTCTTCTGGATCATCCAAATGCACTCTAGCAAACTTCAGACGGGCCTGGACATGTACTGGCTTAAGCAGGGGGACACGTCTGGCACTGCAGGATTTGAGTCCCTGGCGGCGTAGTGTGTTACTGATGGTAGGCTTTGTTACTTTGGTCCCAGCTCTCTGCAGGTCATTCACTAGGTCCCCCCGTGTGGTTCTGGGATTTTTGCTCACTGATCATTTTGACCCCACGGGGTGAGATCTTGCGTGGAGCCCCAGATCGAGGGAGATTATCAGTGGTCTTGTATGTCTTCCATTTCCTAATAATTGCTCCCACAGTTGATTTCTTCAAACCAAGCTGCTTACCTATTGCAGATTCAGTCTTCCCAGCCTGGTGCAGGTCTACAATTTTGTTTCTGGTGTCCTTTGACAGCTCTTTGGTCTTGGCCATAGTGGAGTTTGGAGTGTGACTGTTTGAGGTTGTGGACAGGTGTCTTTTATACTGATAACAAGTTCAAACAGGTGCCATTAATACAGGTAACGAGTGGAGGACAGAGGAGCCTCTTAAAGAAGAAGTTACAGGTCTGTGAGAGCCAGAAATCTTGCTTGTTTGTAGGTGACCAAATACTTATTTTCCACCATAATTTGCAAATAAATTCATTAAAAATCCTACAATGTGATTTTCGGGATTTTCTTTCCTCAATTTGTCTGTCATAGTTGACGTGTACCTATGATGAAAATTACAGGCCTCTCTCATCTTTTTAAGTGGGAGAACTTGCACAATTGGTGGCTGACTAAATACTTTTTTTCCCCACTGTATGTTGTTTATGTTGGGTCCCTTTGACTGTATATGCTGTTGGTAGCCTAGTAGTTGTTTCAGTTGTTTTTGTAAATGGAACAGTGTATTTTGCAATAAATAATGTACATTTTGTATTGCATTTATTATTTCGCCTTTGTAGTTCCCTAGCCTCAGAGCCGATGCCAGACTATGATCAGCTGGGGGGCACTCTTATTGATGCCTTATTTATAGATATATAAAATATATGCAACGAATCTTCCACCAACAGGTTTCTGTGCATGCCAATGCACCACATAACCAAAAATCTAAGCATTAACATTGTTCCCATATACACCGGACCAGAGCCATTTATTTGGGCCGGACTAACCAATTATAGGGCCAAGGGCAAGAATGTCTTCAACCAACTGTGGTCGCAAAAAATACATGTAAATCACAACACGGCGGTGCCACATGTAGTGGCATGTTGGGAAAGCAGAGACACGTGTAGGCCAAATTGATAACATGACAGTCTCATCACAAAGCAACAACAGAAATGAATTAAATTACTTTAGGAAACTTTTTAAATGGACATTGAGAAAATGTGCAAACTGACACACGCACACCCGTCAAAAGGACACATCAATCACAGCCACTAGCTTATCTTAAACACACAAGAGCAAATCTCATTTGTCCTTTCCTAAAAACTTTGGCTATTAAAAACCGATAGACCTATGTCATAATGCTAAAATAATGTAGCATATCAAATGAATGACAAGGAAAGTTTGAAGGGGGATAGAGAGACAGCTATGCGATAGTAGGCATATGATGAAGATGAAATGTACAACCATTAGCCATTTGAGTGTGGTTATGTTGATACCACATTTTAATTAGTGTGTATGATCGGCCTATCTAAATCTGTCTCTGGCTTATATTTTTTGTCTCCGTCTTGTATAGCACATGTTCAGGTGGTATGGCAGCATAGGCCTACAAATCATAGACTAATATATGAATTACAATCATTTCTAACACATCTGTCTTCACTGTTCCTGTCTTGCACAATTCACGCATCTCTGCTGGTATCAGCTCCACTGGCCTCTCGCTCTTCCGCTCGCTAGTCATAACAGCTCTTGTATCGAACCAGTAGCTCAATGTGAGCCACAGAACCAGCTAATAACTTATATTAGAGGAGAAAAGCTGAGTATAAAGTAGGTTGCAGCGTTAGAAAGGAACTGGCGGGAAGTTTGAATGGCGGGAAGTAGCTCTGGTGTAATGTGATTGGCTGGTGGTGATAAATGCATAGTCTAAATGGCTGAACTTATGCATTGCAAAAGTACAGGGGATAAATTAATTCATTAAATTCCCACAACTCCCGTGTCCTACCAAGTGTGACCGTGCATGATATCAACATATCCATCCGTGTGCCATATTTGAATTGTGTTATCATTCAAAATGCCAATATTGAAATGTAACTGTTCCCAAAAAATGCGTGAAGGACCAATGTCTACGCATTATGATGATAAATAAAAATGCATCATTAATATTTACAAGTGTTCTAACGAAAATGTCCATATTTAAACTTCGAAATGTCTGATAAATGCAATTTAAAAATGACAAAGAAAAGAGACCCATCACAACAGAATTCGATCTTGATAAATCCAACGCATCAAAGGAATATTGTCCATAAATCAAAACCAACATCTATGCATTTACATTTTCCATATATATATATATATATATAATCAAGTATTACATTTTTTGTTTTTTCATTTTGTTAAATTTCACACTAAAGTAAAACAAATAATAATTGAAAGTATTAATAATGAAAGTGCATGTTGCTGCACACAGAGACCATTCATCTAATTTCATTTAAGCTTAATTTTTATTTAACCAGGTGAATTACTTAAAACAGGTATTTCACCTTTATTTAAAACAGGTTGGTGTCATTGAGATGAACATTTAATAAAACATAGGCCGATTCAATAGTATTTTTTCTCAATAAAACAGTTAATCTCAAATAAATGACAGGACTGGCTGGCTAAAAACACAACGGCCCTTGTTTAATAAAACAATATTATTTATTTCCATGTTATATCAAAACCACATTTGTTAAAACAGAACAAAATGCAACATATAGCTTAACAGAGCTAAACACAAAGGATGTTTTTAATGACACAAACACAGTGCATTAGGCTATAAGCCTTTTATCCATCACTTTAAATGCCCGTGGAGAAAGAGGATGTCTCTCACAAAGGAGGGCTTGAGAATGGAGCGTCTCTCCTCCAAAATTCGGCCACACACACACTGAACGCCTGGTTGGAGATGGCACTGGACTCTGGGATTCTGAGGGCAAGGCGGGCAAGATTGCAGAGCGCAGGGAACTGAAATCTCTTTGCCTGCCACCACAACAGAAAAGCGCTGGTCTGCTTGTTAGACTGGGGTCAAGTTTTACTACCACATACAGTGCATTCGGAAAGTATTCGGACCCCTTGACCTTTTCCACATTGTTACGTTACAGCCTTCTTTTAAAATGGATTAAATACAAATACTAATCAATCTACACACAATACCCAATAATGACAAAGCGAAAATAAGTTATTCAAATTTTTCCTAAATGTATTCAACCTTAAAACACAGAAATACCTTAATTACATAAGTATTCAGACCCTTTGCTCAGGTGCATCCTGTTTCCATTGATCATCCTTGAGATGTTTCTACAACTTGATTGGAGTACACCTGTGGTAAATTCAATTGATTGGACATTATTTGGAAAGGCACACACCTGTCTATATGTGACCGACCAGCTCGATCTTATGTAGCAAAATTTGAAATTGTGTTTTTTACATTGGATAAAAGTAGACTCAGAGCTAGAAAATTGTATATCATACACTACAGTTAAAGAACAATGGGAAAATAATTCTGCTTTGAAAGTTGATAAACTCACTTTGGAGAAAATGTTCCTTGAATGTTTTGGTAAACCTGCTGGAGAGCTCTTCTTTGTCTACACCCATTCAGCATCGTTCACACCCTCTTAAGCCTTAGCCCCACCCATCTCTTTATGGATTCACATGAGGCCATGTACTAGATTTCAAGACTAAAGGCTGGTTTATACTACAGGTGTGTTTGGAGTACCATAGTGCGCTCTGGGCATTCGTAAACTCAGAGTGTTGTCAGATTGTCCGTTGGAAATTCAGAGCGTTTCGCTCTCGGAGCGTTCATAGCACATACTGGACGCTCTGGCCGAGGAGTAGGGTTGATACAAGCGTTGACCTAACAACAGCAGTCAAGCACCCAAGCTAACTGGCTAACATTGGCTAGCTTGCTAGCTACTTCCAGACAAAAATTAGAGAACAGCTCACTCTGACCATTTTACTTGCCCTAGCAGAGCTGGTTAGGCTGTTTTTATGTTATCCAGAGCGAAATGAAATAAACGACTTTCTGACAAAATTAGAAACGTGTAATATCTGAAAATGTAGCTAGCTAGACTATCTTACCCGTATACATGGATGGATGCTTCTCCCTCTCTGTCACGGATGCCATGGTTGCCCTTAGTTTGAAGATGTAATCTGGAACAGGTGTTTTATACAACAGCCTTCTGTGTGTTTTCTTTTCGACTCCCTCTGCATATTTGTAATCAAATGGCAGAATTTTCTCCATCTCCTTAGCTATCATACTCTAATTCCACTGATTTCAAAACTCAGTCCTCCAGAAAGTGGAGAGCAACACTTTTGCAGTTCTACTACAGTTGAAGTTTACATACACCTTAGCCAAATACATTTAAACTCAGTTTTTCATAATCCCTGACATTTAATCCTAGTACAAATGCCATGTTTTAGGTCAGTTAGGATCACCACTTTATTTTAAGAATGTGAAATGTCAGAATAATAGTAGAGAGAATGATTTATTTCAGCTTTAATTTTTTTCATCACATTCCCAGTGGGTCAGAAGTTTACATACACTCAACTAGTATTTGGTAGCATTGCCTTTAAATTGTTTAATTTCAGTAAAACGTGTCGGGTAGCCTTCCACAAGCTTCCCACAATAAGTTGGGTGAATTTTGGCTCATTCCTCCTGACAGAGCTGGTGTAACTGAGTCAGGTTTATAGGCCTCCTTGCTCGCACACGCTTTTTTGGTTCTGCCCACACATTTTCTATAGGATTGATGTCAGGGCTTTGTGATGGCCACTCCAATACCTTGACTTTGTTGTCCTTAAGCCATTTTACCACAACTTTGGAAGTATGCTTGGGGTCACTGTCCATTTGGAAGACCCATTTGCGACCAAGCTTTAACTTCCTGACTGATGTCTTGAGATGTTGCTTCAATATATCCACATAATTTTCCTTCCTCATGATGCCATCTATTTTGTGAAGTGCACCAGTCCCTCCTGCAGCAAAGCACCCCCAAAGCATGATGCTGCCACCCCCATGCTTCACGATTGGGATGGTGTTCTTCAGCTTGCAAACGACCCTCTTTTTCCTCCAAACATAACGATGGTCATTATGGCCAAACAGTTCTATTTTTGTTTCATTTTTGTCGATATAGGACTTGTTTTACTGTGGATATAGATACTTTTGTACCTGTTTCCTCCAGCATCTTCACAAGGTCCTTTGCTGCTGATTGATTTGCACTTTTCGCACCAAAGTACGTTAATCTCTAGGAGAACGCGTCTCCTTCCTGAGCGGTATGATGGCTGCGTGGTCCCATGGTGTTTATACTTGCGTACTATTGTTTGTACAGATGAACGTGGTACCTTCAGGCGTTTGGAAATTGCTCCCAAGGATGAACCAGACTTGTGGAGGTCTACCATTTTTTTCTGAGTTCTTGGCTGATTACAAGCCAAGAGGCACTGAGTTTGAAGGTAGGCCTTGAAATACATCCACAGGTAGACCTCCAATTGACTCAAATGATGTCAATTAGCCTATCAGAAGCTTCTAAAGCCATGACATCATTTTCTGGAATTTTCCAAGCTGTTTAAAGGCACAGTCAACTTAGTGTATGTAAACTTCTGACCCACTGGAATTGTGATACAGTGAATTATAAGTGAAATAATCTGTCTGTAAACAATTGTTGGAAAAATTACTTGTGTCATGCACAAAGTAGATCTAACTGTCTTGCCAAAACTATAGTTTGTTAACAATACATTTGTGTAGTGGTTGAAAAACTAGTTTTAATGACTCCAACCTAAGTGTATGTAAACTTCTGACTTCAACTGTACGTGATATCTTTCAAAAAAGTTGCGTTAGAAAGGATTACCTACACATACTGCACAGCTCATGTTATAGACAGAAGCGTACTACATGGCAGACCAATCCAAACTCATCTCTTGGCATGTCCAACTGCTATCATAAAAAGTATGTGGAGAAGCCGTAGTCACTACTAGGGGTGTTTGTAGCCTGTGTGCGACTTTAGACTAGGCTATTTGTTGTTTGAGATCAGTTGTTTTGTAAGCCTACTGTTTTAAAGAACTAAGTTTTACAGAACAAATATAGTTTAAAAAACAAGAGCTGTTGTGTTTGTAGCCAGCGTGCGGTGAAAATCACTGGTCATTAATTAATGTAGGCTATAGGATGGCTGCATGAGATTAACTGTTTTAACGAGAAAAACGATTGAATAAATTATTAATTGTTATTTGTTTAGCACATGGGGATGTGTGAAACTCAACCCTCAGCCTGAAGTCCCAACATGCGGCAGTGAATCGCTAGCTTTTCGCGTGGCGGACTGGTAAGCTGCTTCCGGAGGGCGGTCACATGTGCTAGCAAGGCAGAGGTCCCGAGTTCGCGCCAGTTATGGGCCGAATCGGGAGGAAGCATTAAGAAAGCAGCGTGACGTCCCATGACAGAACCCCATCAGAACCAACAGCTGAACCCACCAACAGACTGGTGACAACTAGCTCCTAGCACCTGCCCAATAATGGGCAGAAAAACCGAGGGTGAGAGGATTGAAATGGGAAGAGGTTATGGTGGAGATACTGGAGTTGTCAATACTAGAAGTAGAGGTGGTGAAATAAGGTGAGTTAGGAACGAGAATGAGTGAGCAGTAAGAGTCTCAAGGCAGTAGGCAGGCTGATATTACATTTACATGTACATTTTAGTCATAGTAGGGGGTATGAATTTGCAGTATT